GTCCCCAGTCTAAATGTGTTTTTCATCATACATTGATTATTACGATGCAATGAGTTAATGTAGACAATGATATGACAAATCTACAATGTTAGGATTAAGTCTATTAATAAAGCTGTACTAATACTGAAGTTGACCACAATTTTATAAATCTTACTATGATATCACTTTACCGAGCTCCCATAGTAGTTTAGCGTTTTCTTGAATGAAGTTTTTAATCGTCCAATACACTCTCAAAAGACACTCACAGCTTATATATGTGGTCTTCTTTAAGTAATGAACGTCACCTTCCTTGGGAGACCTAAATCACTATGTTACGTATAACTCCGTTAACTACTTCAACGACTAATTGATATTTTCTTACACACAGATTCTTGAGTGCTTGGAACAGAACTTCACCTCGCCCCAAGGCGATAACCCTCGAAAAAGCTTTCCCGCAAGTCATAAATTATAAACAAGTTGATATTTCCCTTCATCAAGGTTATAAAAACCTTCGGCTAAAGGATCGAAAAGAGTGGCGTTTATGCAGATACTTTATGACTTTAATCTATTTGAACGGAGTTTTATTCTCGAATTAGCATTTTTCTATACATTGCGTTTTTTCTGTTAAGGGTCAGTGTGTAACACTTTGAACAATTTCGTTTTAAGTCCAACTACTTTTAATTACTTATGAACAGTTCTATTTGTTTTCAATAACGCAAAAAGTTAACTGCATAGTATCTTGTTTCCTCGTAGCAATATTTTATGCACGAATTGGTTAATAAGTGATACTTCAAAGAGGTGTTTTTGGTGCGTCATGTAAATGTTTGCAGTTGTTCCCATGTTATTTAAATGCAGTTTATGTTCTTACTGGATTCAAGACATCTCTGGTTACAACCACTTTCTTGAATACTATTAGATTTTGTCATGACTTCTGTACGCTAGTAGAGACTAATCCTAATCATCCCTGTATTCTTCACACAAAGAAAACACTGAAACAGCGGTGTATTATAACAAGAGATATCAAACAAACATCATTGATACATTTACGCGCTTACTTATTATCTACAACATACTATAACTAGAATAAAATCAGATGGGCCAATAATCAGCCGATAGTCACGCCGAAAGTATAGTAGTTTGCATAGAGACGACTCATAACGTTGAGTTATATGTTAGACTATAATTTATGGACGAATCAATCAGGTATAAGATAAAAGGTCTCGGATTTTGGCGCGAAATTCACCCATCTACTTGGCTAAATAAAGTTTTGGAATTCGTCAGTTCATGATGAAAACCCTAAATGTAATCCGTAACCTCAATGACTCATAATTCTAATTACTAACACTGGTTTATAACACTCATTTGGTTCTACATAATAGATGAAGACTCTCAATATCACTATAGAGTCGGTTTCTAGACATGATGACAGTCCCAAATTTTTGTGTTGCAAATCTCACACAAAAGGACTTATAAGAATATGGTAACTCAGTGTAAACTAAAAACGCGCTTCTACTGTTAACGCACAATTGTTCGCTGAGCAACTCAATATCAAGCAGTTCGATTTCAACTTTCACTTAACTGTGAAGAATCATGCTTGACTACTACATCTCAGAGTGATCATTTTAAACTCATCATCCCGAAAAAAGTTAAAAGAGGAGGTTCACTGAAGGCCGGGTTGCTACCGGATGATGCTTCACATATTGTGGCTCGTATGGTATATGTCTTACTCAAAGATTGTTGTTCTCCCTTTCATTCTCCATACAGAAACTTGGGAGATAGGATTCCGGAGATCATTTAGCCAGTGAGCGAAAACATCTAAGTATAAGGGCTTCGCATGAACCTGGGCTTAACAATGATGTCAGAGATATGAGAATTTTATCTCAATGACTTTCAGTTGTTTTGCCATTACAGATCAAATACTGTGGGTGATTGTTAGTTCTTTAAACACCCATCTCTATTAGGTCTTGAGGAATCTCATCTCCTAGGATTTACTTACTTACTTACTTACTTACGCCTGTTACTCCCAATGGAGCATAGTCTGCCGACCAGCATTCTCCAACTGTCCTGGGCCTCCTTTTCTAATTCCATCCAATTCTTCTTCATATTTTTCATGTCTATTTTCATTTCTCGGCGTAATGTGTTCTTTGGTCTTCCTCTTTTCCTTTGGCCTTGAGGATTTCATGTGAGGACCTGTCTTGTGAAGCAGTTGTGTGCTTTCCTCAATGTGTGTCCTATCCACTTCCAGCGCTTCTTTCTGATTTCTTCCTCCGCTGGGATCTGGTTTGTTCTCTCCCATAGTACGTTGTTGCTAATAGTGTCCGGCAAACGGATCTGAAGTATTTTGCGTAGACAACTGTTAATAAACACCTGTATCTTCTGGATGACGGCTTTCGTAGTTCTCCAGGTTTCCGCCCCATACAGTAGAAATGTCTTGACATTTGTATTGAAAATCCTGATCTTGGTGTTGGTTGACAGTTGCTTTGAGTTCCAGATATTCCTCAGTTGTAAATATGCTGCTCTTGCTTTGCCGATCCGCGCCTTCACATCTGCATCAGATCCACCCTGTTCATCAATGATGCTGCCCAAATATGTAACGGTTTTTACATCTTCCAAATCTTCTCTGTCAATTTGGATTGGATCGGTGCAAGCTGTGTTGTATCGGAGAACCTTGCTCTTCCCTTTGTGTATATTGAGACCTACTGCTGCTGAGTCTGCTACTACACTGTTCGTCTTCTCCTGCATTTGTTGTTGCGTTTGGGATAGAAGGGCCAGATCATCTGCGAAGTCCAGATCGTTCAACTGCATCCTAGATGTCCATCGTATCCCGTGCTTCCCTTCAGATGTTGACGTCTTCATGATCCAGTCGATCACCAGGAAAAAGAGAAAGGATGAGAGTAAGCAACCTTGCCTAACACCGGTCTTCACTTCGAACGACTTTGTCAACTGTCCTCCATGCACGATTTTGCAGTGTAATCCATCATATGAACTCTGTATGATATTGACTATCTTTTGAGGCACGCCGTAGTGTCGAAGAAGCTTCCATAGTGTTGTTCTGTCCACGCTATCAAATGCCTTTTCGTAGTCAATGAAGTTGATGTAGAGTGATGAATTCCATTCCATCCATCTCCCAGGATATTTCACATAAATTGCGAGTTGAAACAGTTCCGTCCACTCTGTTACATGCTTTTATGTAATCAATGAAGATGATTACGGTGACGAATTTCATTAGATTGGTTACTCCTCAATTATTCCTATTGTATGTACCGTTACCAATATTTGATTTGATAATATCGAATAAACTGGGTATTGGGTAGATTGTTATAAATAAATAATATATTTGTTATATCCCAATGAGTAGAAAATTAGATTTTCCGACGTTTCGTGACTTAGCGTAAGTCCCTTCTCCGGAGACATTACAAATATATTATTTATTTATAATTATTCCGATTGTTAGGATTTGTTCTCGCTACATCACCGAACTCCACAAAATCTGGTTTGTTGGATGTTCACTGAATCTTCCATTCAGTTCGCCTATAGTGTTGAAATTTTCGTTTTGTACCCAAAAAACTATGGTTTCCCTGTATTTTCCACATTTTCCAAGTCATTGTTTCTTCTAAATCTTGATAACGTATCTGGCGTTTTTGAGCACAATATAGATTTTTACATAAATCGTGCCTATTATGAACTTTAAGTTCAGTAGGTTCAGTAGTGCTCATTGAGTTTTCTCTGACGTGGATCATACATTGGTGGGTGTTGCTAACTTGCATTTTAATTCGAATATTGCTGAATATCATAGTATTTACCTTTCTTGTCTGTTGGCACCTGTTATTCCTCTTAATAATTTTCCAAGGGAACATGAAAAATCATTGCGGTTAATTCTATATCTAAATACAGTGCATCGGATGGTATTTTATCTGATTTCACTACCTCACCATTCCTGGTTTGTATGGTGGACATGGTAATTTCTTGTGATGTTGGTGCCATGACATCTGTAAGGAAATTTATGTGCTGTTTCGACATTCAATAGTTCCAGTGAAGCTGGTCTATTCGAAAGCTCTTCTCTGTATCCCATTCGCCATTTACATACTTTTCATTCCCAGTGATTGTTTTCTATTCATTATTGATGGTTGATCGCTCCATTTTACTACATTCCCAATAAGCTACTTGATTTATTTCTGTTTTTATATGAGCGTATATGTGTATGCCCTTCTTATAGCATTAATCACATGTCTGTAGCTTTATTTTGTCTGACTATAAATATGGAGTAACTCTTGACTAAAAGGGAGTTGGCTTCCCAGCCATCTTCCCTGCGCGTCATTTTGCTGTTCCATTACATTCACTTTACATACAAAATATATGTATTCAAAGGCCATTCTCGTTAATTGACTTATCTAAATTCTGTTTTTGACTAACGTGATTTAAGTCGACGATGATATACGAGAATAGGCGATAGCAAACATTTATACGATCTAAATAGGAGTCAGATCTATGGGCCACTAAAGGCTGCCTTAAGCGACTCAGTGAAAGACGTCAGTTTGACAACGCCTTAACCATTAATACCTTTATATTCAAAGTAAGCCATCACAGTCAAATCAGAAGACAGAAATGGAGGAGTTCGAAGATATATTGTGAAGGCTGTCGGTATGTCGAGGAATATTTTATTTAGGCTAGCTAACAGTCGAAAGTGATGCGTAAAACTATGTACCCTCTCGGGATCTCGTGCGGAATCATGACGTTGAGTCCTCAGAAAAGGAAGTCCATTAAAATCAATGCGGTCAGTATCAGACGTTGAAGACTTACAGAAGTAGTGAGGATTTGTTTACCACTACACGTTATTAATACTAGTGCTTCTTATAGCTAAACAACTTGGATTATTTTTACCAATTACTCTCCACACGTTATAGTGTTCTATAAAATCATTTGGAACTATGATGGATTTTTCGAGGCTTCTTTAGCCTCGGTCTAGAGGCTATCAAAATGAAGTTTGAAGTTGTCTTTGTTTTAATGCTCTGAGACATGACTACCGAGAGACCTTAAGTAACGAGCTAAACTGAATTACTTAGTGTGTAACAATTCAGTAACGTAAGAACGACCTTTGTCTTAAAGTTACTGATTTATTTAATGTCTGAACCAATACCACTAAATTTGACGCCTCAGTTGATCCGAAGTTAATTGAGCTGAGAAATTATACACAACTGATCATGAGATCCCAGTCTCCCAAGGTTTGGTGAAACTCTGAATGATTTTGGGGTAACCGCTATTACAAACTTAGGAGAAATGGCAAATAAACTCCAAAACCTCCTCAGAATTTTATTGCATTTTGAGGAAATCGGCTTATATGCATTGATTGAACCCCAAATTGTTTCGCAATTTAGGTGAAATTTCGCGTTTTTTCTCCGAATTTCCCCAAACTTGGGAGCTTGGGACATTTGCATGTAAAAATAAAAGTCATTGTCGTAGAAAAAAATAAAGTCTATCTTTCAATTGAGACACAAGAGGTATGAAAACGAGCGCACTGCATTCCATTATGTTTACCAACTAAACGTATATGGATACACAGATGTGGGGATGAGTCATCCTTATCTGCAAATTAGAATCTTGACATGTATATAAATGGTTGCAAAAACAAATAAAATCAAATGACTGATAAGAGTATGTAATAATCTACCATCATTTTTATTGTCCAACATATAGTTGTAAAAGGTTTTGAGATTCATCTTAGCATGGCACTGTACAAAGTGTTAAAGAGCGTACATTACGGTTTATTGAAGCCTTGATCATACAAAAATTCAAATCTTCTTTGTTTATTCAAAAACATTTTGTTCTCCCCTCAGACCTACTTTGGTAGTATTAGTTTATTCTCCAGAATGGTAAGTTACACATTGTTTTTCTTATTATTTTCCCCATTATCTTTGTTTCCTCTTACCATCCATTTGTTTAGTTGATCTTTATCCTTATATATGAATGTTTTTAACAAGTATATGTGTGACCAGATTGTTCGACGTATATTTCCAATATATCTCATGCTTCTTATAATCATCGTCTTCGTAGCACACTATCCAAATATATCAGAGGAACTAATAGCTGTGAATTGCGTAGGTTTTGATGGTCTATGAAGCTTACAATATCAGATTCTAGATTCCATAACCACATAGCCCTAAACACACTATATTGTATTGTACGTCGTTGGCATCTGGTTTCATTATTGGATATAAGTGCACTTTATGTGTTAACCGAGCCGTCGACCTACCTTTATTCTAGTTCTGTTCTCCACAGGAATATCTCACACGCGGCTCCTTACTTTCTGTAGGCACAAAACTTATCGTTAGGCTAGACTCATCTGAAAACTGAAATATATGAAGTGTCACGGATTTCTGTCATTAATATACGTATGTTTCGCAAGCAAACAAAAAAGTAGGCACAAAGATAAACTCGCAGGGAATAAAGTGTAAAACAGTCACACATTATTTAAGGATTTAAAGATAAACAGAAAGGCATTTTTACCTCAAAATAATACGCCAATATAAGTAGATGTTTAGGTATAAAAATACTAACTATCAGTTAAGCATGTGATTCTATTATATATTAACATCAACTTTTGAAATGACATGTACATTCTCAAGTATAATATACTAACCTGTAAAACAGGCACAGTCCTACTTCTGCAAAGTAACCTATGCATGAACCGATAATATTTAGCTTGAAGCCCTAGTTTTTGTTAGGCCAAAACAGATTCAGATCTACTTACTGAGGACAGAAAGTCGACGATTTATGTTAATACTTTTCTATCAAGCTTCACAGTCTGCTCAATGGGGCACCCGGGAATTGAATAGTTCTATTGTAGTTTATTCTGTATATAAACAAGTTGCACTGGATCTTCAACATTGTTTTATTCTGAAGAACAGTTTAAATCGGAGGGAAGTAGCATGGGATAGTGACTCTGACGTCCTGCAAAGCTGACATGAGGCAATATTAATGTCTATCACTGCAGCTGTGCGTAACACTATGGTTGTTGGATATTCAGGTGTCACTAACTACAGAGTTGGTGGGATATTCTTGGGTTTAATCTTAACTGAAAATGATCTAGGAGTCATATTAAGTGATGACTTAAAGACAATGATTTATTTTCGCTCATTTGTACCCGAAGTATCTGTAACACTAGGTGTTAATAACAGGCTTTATAAAGTGTGACAAAAATACAATCACATTCATTTGCATAGCCCTACCAATGTTCAAACTATAAAATGTTTTAAGACTGCAACCATCTGTTTGAAAGATAACATCATTACTTAAAATCATTCATTCGCTGTTAGAACAAGAAATACTTTCAATAAAATCTATATGTATCCAGTAATAGCTGAAAAAGCATTAGAAGAATAAAGTTCTTCCGTTTAGGATAAATCGATCACTATCGCTTTGTAAGATTTTGAAGAGGATGATAAAGCGCGCCAAAAATATGTGGCCCTCAACCAAGTTTCATTGATTCAAATTTAATGTTAGAAAAACTTCAAGACGTGCTAGCGACTTGGCTTCAAACTTTAGACGCTTAAAGAGCATACTGTTGGGTGAATGATTTTAGTTGTAATTATCAAAAATTTTATTCTCAAGACTTAATTTTAATTCTAATGAATAGGAATAAACCTAGAGTTCATTATTTAAGAGTATGTCTATAGCCAAACAACATAAAAGAAATCAATAATAATGGTTTTGGAGACAAATAGTACGAGATTTTCAGAGCTAGTTCTAATAGAGATTTGAGAACATTTTATGCCTTTTAGGGTTTATGGATTCATTAAACAGACTCTTGTCTTTGTGAAAAAGATCAAGCAGTCTTGAATACCAATGTATCCTAATATGCTGAAGTTACTCTGTTTTTAAAAGCACTTACAAACTTAGTTCCGTTATTTTCGTAATAAGTCGATAATAAATTTTTTCTTTGTCATATATATAAGACTCAAGTAGTCTTTGTCTCCTTATCAACTCAAATTTTTTATTTGATAAACTAGTTGACTTCCTAGTTTATTAGCCTGCAAATCAATTGACAGTTGCTGAAAATTCTTTGGTGAACTATTACAAACATGGATTTAGAACGTAGAATACCATGTCAAAGAATGAATTTCATCAAAGAATTGATGCCATTAAGCAGACATATTGAATCTCCAATCTCCAAAAAGGTGCTTGCTGTTTTTGACGCGGCTTTACAAAAGGTATTAACTGTTTTATGCTTACAGAACATAAAGGAAAGTGCTGAGGTATGTCATTTCAATATTAGTTTATAAGAGTCCACAGGTTCAAAATGAAGAAAGCCTACTAGATCGTGTGAGTTTTCACATAAATCAAGCAAAAGAATACGACTTAATCAAAGCTAGTAACCTCGACAATCCTGAGAACTGTGAGATGCTGAAGAATACCAGTAAGTTACATGCTTGTTCACAACAAAACTTTGTTAGAATCAGAAATAAACGATTCTTCGGTGAGTTCAAAAAATGGTTTTCAAAACATGCACAATAAATTATCAATGGAAATCTAAAAAAGTAAAAGTATGAAACCTCGTATATCTGTTGATCAATTCTAAGTAGTAAAAGGTATTACAGAGTTTTAAAATACCTATCAATATGAATGCAGATTGAATTGGTTTGAAATAGATATTTATATCTTTGATTATGATAATTACCACTTTGGAAGGCTTTACAAAGTTTGTTGTATTTGGTTATTATCAAACCTTTCAAGATTCTACTTTCGACAGTTTATCGTCTGGTTAAGAATTCTTCATTGCATTATAAATCACATGTGTAATTTCAGATTCTAACAAAGCTAATCTAATCAGTTTTTGTGAGATTTTGATTGCTTTGAAGCCATGGTAGTTCACTTACATAACTCTTGATAGCCAAAGTATGTTTTGCGGCTTAGAACTCTAATGGTAACATGGTAATCAATCTTTACAATGAGTTAGCTGTATGCTCTGGCTCTTTACTTAAATATAACGAACACAAGTTTACCTGTGGTTCAAAAAGTGGAGTTCTCACTATGTAACATATTAAGAAATTACTGAATTGCAGTTACCTATATGTTTTTTATATGGTACTATAATTCTCTCCTAATATACTTCTATGTAATATAAAGATGATTTTTTAAAGAAAAAAAGCATTAGTATGGTAGTTTTCTACATCCGAACTAATTATCACTTATTGCTTTAGATTCTAACATGTTCAAAAACAATATGAAGTGTCTCTAATGTAAAGGATGACTGTTTTGATTAATTTTGCCAGCACCATTGATCAGTTTTGATTAATAAGGGATTTCTTAAAATAAAAGGGCGATTTTTGTTTGCTAATTACCTGAAGTGATTTAACATTTGGACGATATTTTGAAGTATTTTTGCATGAGTTATTGCTGAAATATAGACCTTTAAAAAACCCTTACTTGGAATCGGCTGATATTTATACAGATCAAATGCTTTAATCACATACTGTATGTTTAACTAGCAAAAGAAGTGCATTTTTTTCTTTATTCATTAGTCATATTAGTAGCAACAAGTGAAAATTTTTGTAAATGTAAACAGTACTCCATCTAGTCCCCTATTACGATTACAGTGTTATTCTAATGTATAGGCCAAAAACGTGCATCGCCAAGTGTATTGGCTATAAGTCATTCGAAAATTGTCGCGAAATTTTTATAACCAAGTTCCACAGATTCTACAACTTCAACAAGAGAGTATTTAACAGTTTGTTTACAGTATAAGAATTATTATTTAAATAAAAGTGAAGGCTTTTCATTCATACTGATTTTATTTGAGTAGCTGGTAGTTTTAATTATCTTTCTCCCCTATACTCACTTAAAGGGTGAGAAGTAACCGAAGATGGAAATTTTACAACTATCTTGAGTTGTAAGTTCAACAAATCCTAGACTGCTGATGTATTAAATCTTACAAGCTATAAAACTTTAAAAAATTTGTTGATATTAGAAACAATTTCGCACATCTTACCAACCAGTAAGTACAACATTTTTGTAATCAAACTTGTCCCTTAAAGCCTCTACAAACGTTCAATCATTATAACACTAGATAGATATCATTGAAGTTTACTTGAAGGAGTTTGGGTAACAATTCTTTAACCGAAAAAATAAGGTGTTTTTAAAATCTGCCTCTAAATGGATTTTAATTTGCAAAGTCTTTGTTTTTCATCTTATCTGCTTTCTCAGTGATAAATAAATCTTAATTCATTTAGATCAGTAATTAAATGAGACTAAATGATTTATAAACCTTCTTCAAATAAGTAGTTATTCACGACTTCAAACAAAAAATTAATTCTATCACTAACTCAGATTCTTTTAAACTTCATGTGAGTAATAAGTTAGAATGAAATCTTCGTAAAAATATTACTAGAACCTGTCAATGAATATTCCCTCATATCTAAGTGGAAAGAATAATAATCTATAGAATGAATGAAATTTCGTTAACAACAAAAATTATAAACTTCTTGATATTTTCCTCATTCCATTCACCGAAATGTCGATTCTATAGATAAAATGTTTCTTCGAATTAAAATCAGAAATGATTTAAGTTTACAGTTCATTAATAAAAAGACTATAATTTATGAACGAATCAATCAAATTTAAGATAGCAGGTCTTAGATTTTGGCTCGAGATTCATTTACTCATTTGGCTAAATACCATTTCGGCATTATAGCTGATATCAGTTTGTGATAAAAACATTAAATATAATTTCTAAACCTAACGTTCAACTGTAAATCCTAATCCTAGTTCGTTGTACTAATTTAAAACCTTCATTTAACCCTAGTAAGTAGATGTACATTTTTAAGGTCATCTTAGAGTTGTCCAAACGTCGTCCATAAATTATAGTATTATTTGTTATTATTATTATTTGAGCACATAAATATTGGTAAAAGAGAGCGCCAATATATATGCGCCACACAAAACAATGAAAATTCGAAGAGAGAAAAGAAAAAAAAAGAAAAAAAAAACTAAGGAGCACAAAAGAAAAAGAGAACGATAACAAAGAGATTGGTGAAAGGTAGTGCGGTCGTAACGATGGAACGGAAAGGTACAATCGGAAGAAATCTTTCAAGTAAGGGAGACACAACCACTTTTTATGAAGAAAGTAAAAGAAGGTTACAGCAGGATCGCCACTGGCTTCTATTCTGAGCCATATCTGATAACGTCTCTAGCCACTGTGTAGCACCATCTCTCAGACCCCAACCAGGGAGTCGTGAAGGACCGACAGAAGCCAGTCCTTTGCAACTTTCTTTCATACCACGACACCATGTCATGCACTGACCACCTCTCCGCTTTTTCCAACCAGTCCCAGAGTCGGCAAACAATGCACGACGTGGAATTCTCTGGGACGACATTCGTAGAACATGTCCAAGCCACCGAAGTCGGTGTTTCAAGATGGTGACACCAATTGAATTATCATCTCTGTGCCCAAACACACGATGCCGAACCTCTGCATTACTAACATGGTGTTGCCACTGAATGTCAGCAATCCTTCGGAGACAGCGATGATCGAACACAGAGAGTCGTCTAACGTCCTCAACTCGGAGAGGCCAGGTTTCACAAGCATAGAGCAAAACTGCTCTCACCGACGCGTTGTAGATCCGACCTTTTACAGCCAGACTAACATCACGAAGGCGCCAAAGTTGGCCCAGATTGGCATAAGCCGCTCTGGCTTTCACTATACGTGCATTGATCTCATCACTCACACCCCCACCAGCACTTATGCAGCTACCCAGATACACGAACTTCTCGACTACTTCTATCTGCTCACCATCCAGGGTGAGTACAGGATTGGAATCCTGCCAGTCTTGTAGAAGTACTTTGCACTTCGAAGGTGCAAAACACATACCATACCTACGGACACTGATTGCCAACTGATTAAGTGCGGATTGCATGCCTTGGGCATTATCGCACAGTAAGACAATATCGTCCGCATACTCAAGGTCGAGAAGTCTTTCTCCAGGCAACAGATCCACACCACCATTACTTACATTCATCAGAGCTGTTTCCAGAATGTCATCGATGGCAAAGTTGAAGAGGAATGGTGAGATTGGGCAACCCTGCCTAACCCCACTACTCGTATAGAACAATGGAGAGAGGTGGTTGTATGCCCTCACTCTGCCTGAGGTGTTTTTATATAGGGCTTTTAGGATGTTAATAAACTTCTCAGGCACACCCTTCTTCAATAGACAATCCCAGAGAACAGTCCTGTCCAACGAATCGAAGGCAGCCCTGATGTCAAGAAACACTACGATTGTTGGCCTTTGATAAGTATGGCGATGTTCTAACATTTGGCGGAGGGTGAAGATATGATCAATACAACCTCGACCAGAACGAAACCCAGCCTGCTCCTCGCGAGTCAATCTTTCTCGGGTTTTGAACAACCTACGAAGTATGACGGAAGCCAATAGCTTGGACGCGATCGGAAGTAGACTTATCCCCCGATAGTTGTTACAGGAACGACGTGAACCCTTTTTAAAGATAGGGACAACTATCGACTCATTCCATGACGTTGGTACACTCTCTAATTCCCAAACCTTTGTAAACAACGTCGTCAATTCCTTAGTCAAAAAGTCACCACCATCTTTAAAAAGAGCCGGAGGTAAGTCATCTGGGCCAGGTGATTTGTAACGCTTCAAGAGTTGGAGTTCCTTGCGGACTTCCTCCTCGTTCGGTGGATCAGTCGTCACCGGCCATGGAGGGCAGGACAGTCTGACCGATGTTGCCGGAGCAGCAGGCCAGTTGAACTGCCCTTCGAAAAATTCTGCCCATCGTCCAAGACGTCGATGGATGTTAGTGATTGGCATCCCATCATCCTCGCAGATTGTTTCACTCACACCAGACTTCTTGCTGCCAGTGGCTCGGATGAGCTGGAAGAGCTTCCGGTAGTTACCAGATGCAGCTGCTGCTTCCATCTCATTAGCACGCTCCGACCACCAGGCTTCTCGGTCCTTACGCAAGCTTTGCCCAATTTCCCTACGTAACATCCTTCGTTTATGGTCAAACTCACGGTCACCCGGAGTCGACCGACGGGCTTCAATAAGTTGTAAGGAACCAGAAGAAACCCAGTGCTTATAAGCGGGACGTTTCGCAAACCCACAACTGACTGTTCCCGCCATTTTCATGGCGTCATGCAATTGCAACCAATGCTCATCTATACTTTTCGGTGGAGTGGTAGCTAGCCTAGAAGCTAGCTCGGTTCGATACTTATTTGCAACAGAGGTTGCAACCAGCTTGCTAATATCAATCCTTTGGTGGTGGTCACTTCGTTGTCCACTGAAAAGTAAGGCAAGATTGGCGCAGACCAAGGCATGGTCAGAGTCCAGATAGGTACTCCAAAAGGAGCGGCAGTCTTTTACACAACCACGCCAGCGGAAGCTGATCGCGATGTGATCAATCTGAGTCCAGGCTTGGGATGCAGAGGGAGGACGCCAGGTGGCACATCGGCGATGACTGTGCCGAAAGTTAGTGCTAGCCAGAAACAGGTTGTGGTCTGTGCAAAGTTGCAGTAGACGGTCCCCGTTATCTGACCTGCGACCAACGAGTCCCCATCGGCCACCTAAACGACTCTCTTCTGTGCCTAGACGCCCGACCTGCGCATTCAAGTCTCCGGCTAGTACTACAATATCTGTCGAACGCACTTTCTGGAGAAGAACAGACAGCTGGTGGTAAAACTCATCCTTGATTGCATCCAGGCTGCAATCTGTCGGAGCATAGGCGGAGATGACGAAAAGACATCGTTTCTCACACCGATTTCTTCTCACTTTGATGGAACTTTCTAATCTAACAGCACATAACCGACTGTTAATGGGGATCCAATCGACTAGTGCTGCCTCAGCTCTAGCGCTTAGTGCGACACCAACGCCAGCAAGACCAGACGAAGATGCCACAGGGTCCCCGGATAAGCGCACGTGAAACAAGCTTTTCGAAGCGACAGATGGAGATCGAATTTGTAGTACTTCACCAGAGTCTTGAATACGGGTCTCGGATAGACAACAAACATCAATATTGAGACTTTCCAAAGACATAGCCAGCCCTATCTGTTGTCCGACCTGCATTAGTGTGCGAACGTTGAAGGCAGCCAGTTTGAATGGTGCACGTGGTTTCAGAAAAACTGCTTCAGTTCTCGTATTCGGTGGTAACATACAATTTTCAACCGAACAGTGACTCGAGAACGTTTAGATACAGTCGAATTTCCACCAAAGACGAGCCGCTGTATAAGTATAAAGGAGGGTGAATAATGTGGAAAATAATAATAATAATAATAATAATAATAATAATAATAATAATGATAATAATAATAATAATAACAATAATGACAATAATGGTAATAATAATAATGGTATTAATAGTGACAATAACAGTAACAATTATTTGAATCAATTGAATGTTGATCGGAGAGAGGAAATTAGTTGCCGTAGTCATAGAGTTCATTGTTTGTGTGTGGGCTGTGATACTGCCCGGGTGCCCAAACCGAAGCAGGTGGTTATAGTCTTGGAATCAATCAATATGAAACTGACATTTACTTAATTACTTACGCCTGTTACTCCTAATGATGAAGTTGACACTAACCATTGCATAATTAGTAGTCGACTGGTCAATTATATCATAAATTTCCTCAAAACGTTTTTTTTTTGAGAAGTTGCTTATTAGCTTAAAATTATTAGCTAAAGATTTTGACAATACCGAAATCAGAAAACCATACTTCAATAACACATAGACGCCAACAAATATGGAAAGAGATTAGAAATTTGTATCTTACATATTATTATTACTATTAGTTCACCATTTCATTGTAATAAATAGTTTAAATATTAACCTCTCATTATCATATCAAACAGCGTCCTTGAAGTATGTTTCTAAAAGGCATTACTTTTATTCACAAGTAGTCATAGTAATACGATAGATCTTAAGTTTGATTAGTCGTTTGGTAATTTGATGTAATTGTTTAATTTTCTCCGTCAATTTAAAATTGTTTGACAAATGACAAAAATGTTCTCAACTCATTCTATATCCTAATTATCAATACTATACACTAATACTTATTGTCTTTCACAATATTTCAGGAACATAATATAAATGAAGAGTTCAAGAATAATGTTCGAAATTTTTTACATTTTATATCATCACAACCTTTAATTAATCAAGTACTATTTGGATTTTTATTAAATAATAATGAACAATTATGTAATAAATGGAAATTACCAGAAACAATTACTAATCATATAACTAATGTTAAATGGATTCAATTACCACAATTTTCTCAAAATAATAAAACAAAATTAATAGAATATTTAATACATTTAAGAATATTATTATTAATAAAATTATTAACTACACCAGAAGATAAAAAACGTAAAAAATTATACATAAAAGAACTTGAAACTAGAGATCAAGAATGTCAAATAAAATTAACTGAACTTATTAAAGAATTAGATATACAAATATGTCAGAATAATACAGAAGTAAGTAGAAATGACGATATGAATATAGTTAAATATTTAAGAGTAATAATAGAATATAGTTTTTGTTAAGATACTAAATGATTTTAGTTTTTTGATACATACCACATCTCTAAAATAACATATACTTTATATATTACTTACTTACGCCTGTTACTCCTCGTGAAGGAGCATATGCCGCTCACCAGCATTCTCCATCCAACCCTGTCCTGGGCAATCCTTTCCAACTCCTTCCAGTTCCTATTCATTTTTTTCATATATGCTTCTATTATCCAACGTAATGTGTTCCTGGGCCTTCCTCTTTTCCGCTTCCCTTCAGGATTCCAAGTTAGGGCTTGTCTCGTGATGCAGTTTGATGATTTGCGTAATGTATGTCCTATCCATTTCCATCGCCTTTTCCTAATTTCTTCTTCAGCTGCAAGCTGATTTGTTCTCTCCCACAGAAGGCTATTGCTGATGGTATCCGGCCAATGGATGTTGAGTATCTTGCAAAGACAGCTATTTATAAATACTTGTACCTTCTTAATGGTGGTTGTTGTAGTTGTCCAAGTTTCAGCTCCATACAGTAGAATTGCCTTGACGTTCGTATTGAAGATTGTGAGTTTGATATTGGTTGAGAGTTGTTTTGAGTTCCATATGTTGTTCAATTGTAGGAATGCGGCCCTTGCTTTGCCAATCCTTGCCTTTACGTCTGCATCTGAGCCTCCTTGTTCATCGATGATGCTTCCCAGGTATGTGAAAGATTCTACATCTTCCAGAGTTTCTTCATCAAGAATGAAGAATGAGTAGAAATATCGAATTCACATTTGTTAAAAGATTAACCATTGACTGTTTTTGGTTATAAAGATTAAACTGAAAATTCCTCATTTTAAAGAATTTTTTATTTTATTTTATCCTAATAACAGAAAAATGAGTAATATCAGATTTTTAGATAAAAATTAATGTTAATGACTTAATTTTAATGAAGTAACAACGATAGATAAAACTAATTAAATACACCATTAAATCACAATTACACAGTTCAGAATTTGAAAGAAAAAAACAGAACAATTTAAATAGATAATTACAGATTGTTTCTTGGCTAACAGAATTGGGTTGTCACTAAGAAATTGGCAAATATGATACCCCTTATTGATTCATTTTTATGGAAATTTTAATTCTACAAAAGATTATTTGATAGATGAATGGCTTAATGGTAACATCGTTGATTATGACATATAGTAGTAGTATGGGTTCCCATTCTATAGGAAGTGTCATTCTTTTTAATATTGTAGAAATCCTTTAATGATAACTATCAATTAGCACAAAACTTCAGTTGTAAAAGGTTTCTGTAACATCCAACTATTAAATATTGTTATGACCTTGAATCGTTTTTACCCCGTGATACTTGTTATGACTTCACCTTGATCTGTCCAGATTTAGCTATGACCTTGACGCGATAGGGTGAGCGGCTTAACCTTGAAATCTATCACGCGTGAGTTCGAGATGGGGTAGAGAGATAACTATTCTAGAACCTGATTGGTTGGCAAGCACGCAAGTGAGAGAAGACAAGACAGTTGGAACACTGAACTCTGGATTCTCTGAATTCGGATTAGTACAAAAATGTACACGAATAAATAAGTGAATATCTTGACTACGACGTACAATAATTTGGAAAAATACAGTTATGCCCCAAAACAGGGAATTAGGGTAGAAAATACAGTGCAAAATATTATCTTTAAATTACAATATTTTCGGAACAAAAAGGAGTATGCTAGTGAATGATACATAGAACGAAAGCTCGTGTTATGTAGAATAAGATAGGGACAAAAATAAATATAAGTGTTTTACAGGGTTTGAATGAAATGTAATAACGTCCCAAGAAAATAGCTTTCGTGATTGTGTGGGCTTCTTAATTCCCCGTTCATAACAAATATTATTCATATAAGTGCATATAATCATTGATAATAAATGAGATCCAATTGCAGCAATTCAAGGAAAACGAACTTTTTATAATTCCAGATATTTCTAAATATGAATATGAGATGAGTAATAGTAACAGTACCATTGGAAACTGAAGAATAAATATGAAGATATATATATATATAGAATTCGAGAAACATGTACAGTGATAAAGCAAATTTAAAATAACAATATTTTATAGGTGAAGGAAAAGAGAATGAAATTATTTGCACAATTCCAGCTGATTTCAATTCGGGAATTGAGAAAAGAACGTTTATGGTTAAAATCAGTTTTACAATTGTGAAGAATAATGCACTTAATAGATAGATAATGTAAATAAAACAATTTAAATTAGATTGATTATAATTAAGTCTGAGAAATGCTTAATGGGATAACTTAAGATACATTGAAACTGTTAAATCTTGATTTAAACAACTATGTATCGGAGTTTTCAGTTGGATATTGGTAAATCTTATTCACTAACGATGGAGGATTCATACAATACAAACGCCTTAAATAAAAATAGGATAAACTGAGTGTTTGACACACAATAACTCTTGAACTCTAATGATCCACAAGTAGATATAATACTAAGAAGTCAAGACTTTCAAGATAGTTCTTTATTTCTAAGAGACGTACAAAATTGAAACGAAACAACTCTGTCTATTTAGTTACATTCAACTACCTTGAAGAATATAAACTAAGCGAACCAGAAGCGATAACAATTAATCAGATAATAGGAAGGTTCTCACTAGAAATATGAATTTTAAAAACATCATCGAGTTTATATTTTCAAGAATAAACTGAAATGTAGTAACAAAAACTAAATAACCTGAGCTCTCCTTGGCAATAAACTAATTAAATTGAGGCTAGAAAACTTTTATTACAATCACTTATGGTCTAAGGTGGTACTTATTTAAATCACTCACTATCTGTCACATAGAATTTACTAAACATGCAAAATAGCCCACCTAACCTTAAATTCAAATTATGAGATAAGAAGTTTAAAACTGGCAACTCGTTACTATTAGATAATATTAAAGGTCTAAGAAGTACATAGAAAATGTTCCCATTCAAAATTCTTTATTATCAAGTGGTACTCAAATAGATCAAAACAATGTTAGAGAAATTATAAAAGTTGTTGTACATTTTAACCATAAAATCATATTTATATAATGCAATAGTTATCACGTATTCACTGTTCTCTAATGATAACTAAGCATTGATTATCAGTAACTGTTTATAAATGAATCAAAAATCAATAGTCTTTTGTCCTTGCTTATAAATTAGAATAATGCATAACACCAGTTATTTTCTACTTAAGATTTTTGCATTAGGTCTGATTCTATCTATTAAATTAATCTACCTTGTCAGTCAGTCAGTCAGCTACAACGTAGGACCAGGCACATATGTGCATCGGTCCAGGTTGCCATACCGCATCAACACAACAAGATGAACACCAGATTCATAACAGTGGTTAGGTAACTACATCACTTACAAGATTATTCATTTCATATGTTTTCTTATCAAAAAGAGTTTTGTTAAAAAAAAGTCTTACTACAAACAAAAAAAAACAATTTACATTATTTTAATTTCAGACTAGGAAAATTGGTTATACTGTTTCAAAACTTAAAAATGAAATTGATAATCTTGAAAAATATTTAACTGAACGAAAAAAGCAAATTAACACTGAAGAAGCGAAAAAGATAACAGAAATTACAAAACAAAACAATGGTAAGTTAACTGAACATTTATTATTTAGACTTATTCTTATTCTTAAAATATAATACTTTATTATTATTAAGGATAATGTATGATTGAAACTTGGTTTGTGGTGTTATATCCGAGCGAAGATTAAATCGCGAGTAACTTCTGAGACATATTAATGGACTAATATTATCTATATATTCTTATGGTATAACTATTCAATAATTAGGTTATGTATATTTATATTCCTCTTATTATAAGCTTTGTTTTGACCTATAATTTATTATTGTAGGATTTACTGTTCTTAAGCTATGTTCCGTTTATTGACTACTGCCTTCCGCGTTAACAGTCACTTTTTGGCTTTATTGTGTACAAATGTTATTTCCTATTTTATGGTGCGTTGAGGTCTGTTTGGTTGATATATGAACCCAGTGTATCTGAAATAAATGATTCGATTCCATTCGCATTCGCATATTGGAAGCTCGTATTGGTGTTCTGAACTCAAGTGGACAGGCTAGGCGGACTTAGGACCAATAAGGACGCTAGGCTGCTCATACCGGTCGAACGTGATTGGTTTGGCACAGTGCTAAGATTGTATAAGTCGAATTTTTATTGGTGGATAAATCACGTGATAAAAAGCCGGACATAAAGTCATAACATGAGGAACAGTAGACATTTGTTTTTTCCCAGATTCACAATTCTTAACAATACAGAAAACATCAAGACCTCCAAATCAAATGGTTGAGTATAATATTCAGAAGCCGAGTTGTAATCTAAACTGCACCTATCGAAGTATGAATATATTATTAATCTAAAGGGTAATTAAATTTACAGAAACTGAGTCAACAAAATAGTAGACTCATTTTAGAGATACTTTTATCAGTGGTTTAAACACTCTCATTAATGACCTACAGTAATAGTCATACAACTGTAACAATTACTTCATATTCTTGGAGTAGGAATAGGTTAGAAGAAAACTAGGGACATCTAAACTATGTCATAGATGGCATCAATGCATAAAGTCATTGATTGTAAGAGTGAGCTATGGAGGTAGGTGCAAACTAACTGGTTGAGGTCTATGCAACTATCGTAACCTATGGTTGCAGGCTTTGATTGACATGTCTCAAAACCGTTCGTAATGGCACAGGTGAATTCACTCTTTGTTTACCCATAGATCTTATGTTTTTAAATCGCCTTACAGATTCTGTTATTCCATTGATGTGAAATTCCTTATTGATTCATTCATTTCGCATTCACCCCTCCGTATTACGTCTTACTTATTTGATCGAATTGTAATTGCACTATTATTCTCTCTCACCCTATTTGACCCATATTTATTTTGATCATGGATCTTAAAATTTTAGTTAACATATAAGCTGATTCAAGTTAACATTCTATATAAGTCATATCAACATTAACAATTTTATTGTATTTTGTTTATCACAATCCTAAATTCACATGCTCTAAACGATGTACTTTGCCCTTAACCTGGTCATTTTTTCGGATTATTAATTTGGATATATAATTGTAGAACCTGAAGAGAATTTATCGAAAAGAATATTCTTCGTTCAACTACTAGTCTTTTAAATTTGCTTTAAATAATATGTTCTCATATACTTTAATTCTTATTAGCTACAATACAATAAATATTTCATACAATTTGATACTTTCTCTACATAGAAAATGAAAATAATTTAAGTAAAGAAATGAAAAGTCAAGAAATACTACTTGAAAAGTTGATTGAGACTAATCGTTCTGAAGAGGAAACGATTCGAGCAACTATTTATAAAATGGAAAGTGATATTGAGTCGAAGATTTCTAAATATGATCAAGAAATGACAGTCTTACAGGTATTAATGTTAAACTATGAGTTGTTTTTTTGTTGTTGAATATAATACCGTTTTATCGAGCTAAACCTACCAACCAAAAAATACATCTGAAGACTAATTCCAAGTAGGTTAAAATGTCAGCGATCGAAATCTAAATAATGCTAACGTTTCGTCCAGCAAAGTTGTCTGGATATCTTCAGGGTAATAATCGAAGTCACGACCATCATAGAAATATATAGCGTTTATCAATCGAATCAATTCGAATCTATACTCATCTATGCTCATCCAATCATATTTAGATGATGATTTAAGTAAATAAGATAGCATTTAACTGACTCACGTTGTCATATTTACTAAAGCCGTCATCTAAATATGATTGGATTAGCATAGTATAGATTCGAATTGATTTGATTGACAAACGCTATTGTTGTAACGGGTGACTGCAGATTTGACGGTAGCAGCGTATTATTGACCGATTCAGTGACACGGAAAACACGGACGGACGGCCTAGAGTCTCAATTGGTCCCGCTTCCCTGTCTAGCTCAGCCAGTTGAGTCCAGAACGCAAGTCTTAGCCTCTGAGATAAGAATCATTATATTTCAGACATACTCTGTTTATCTATCAACCAAACAAACCACATCGTACCGTAAAATAGAAAACAACATTTACACAATATTTAACAAGTGAAATAAATATCGACCAATAGGTAATGTACATTTAAAGTCCAAGGCCACCATTAGACTTAACACAATAATTATTGGTATATTTTTCTGAGCATCCTAACAGCTATATATTTCTTTGATGATCATGACTTCGTTTATTAACCTGAAGATGTCCAGACAAGTTTGCTGGACGAAACGTTGGAATTATTTAAATTTCAATCGCTGAGCATATTTCAAATATAGTTTTCACATATAATTACTTCTCTATACTCATTTGGCCATAGTTAATAGGTGGACATTCTAAGGATTATCTCTGCGTCGCTCAAAGGTCATGCATAAATTTTAGTCTCACCGAAATTTCGTCACAGCAACCTTGTGATCAGCGCTTTCCAGCCGACCAATGTTCACTAACAATCCAAAGGATAAACTCTCTCTAATGACCGATTTCATATGAATTTAACAGTTCATATGGAACTAGGTATACAGGTCGTTCGATGCGTATTTTATTTAAAGGGATTCAAGAACATTACCAGGTTTATCTGAAAAGAGGCGGAAACACATCAATAAGAAACTGTATTAACGAGCACCTTGTGAACACAAGTCATTTAATCAAAAAGGATTCAGGGTTCAAAGTCATCTACAAGGTAAGTAGAAAGCTTCCAATGACAATGAGTTGCTGTCTTAGCATTTGCTATACATTTTGAAAAACCAGAATTATGTGTAATAAAGAAACTGATACAACCTCTTCTTCCATCATGATCTTAATCTCTTGTGTTTTTTTCCTATTCTTCTTTCACAGCCATCATTTTATCTTACTATTTTGAGCTTTTCCTTTACAGTCATAATTCTTTATTTATTTTGAAAATGAATATTCAAGCCCTCAACAACAAAACCGTTAACAGTTTCTTTAAGAAAAATAACGTTTATATGCCTTCATTTATTTTACCGCACCGTACCGTTACCCTGCGCAAGGATGACACCCAACATCGTGAAGCGTTACCATGTTTCGTAAAAATTGTATTATCACCATTATTGCCATTATTATTGTTTGGAAAATTAAGTTTATATTTAAGATTGTACAGCTTTGAAAATGAACTCACCGAAAAGAGAACTCTCCTATGAACCAATATCTCCCTTATTTTTTTTTCAATCTCAATAGCAATATTCTGTTTATTTAGGAATATGAATGAATCATAAATAGATGACTGAAAATTAATCATAGTTTTCCTAACGGATGATATTTTAATTTCTGATTGTTTAATAATTATAGGCAAAAGTTTGTTTTTACGCATAAACACTATTTTACCACTGATTAAACACTTATTTAGTCTGCATTTATGTTGATTTTGCACTTTATCGTGTTAAAAGTCTATCAGGAAGAGCATCTGAGTATTTGTTAATTCAGTAAAAGATACCGGAATCAACTAGCTTTTCGTAAAATTATAGTTTAAGTTCCCAACAGATATCACTACTGCCTTTAAAATACATTCAAACTTAGGTCAAATTACCTCGGAATGAGCATATTCTTTTAACTTTTCTACATATCTTGTTAATCCCCCCTTGAGTATATTCTCGTGCCATCTATCATTAAAACATGTTACAAGACACTGTGCCGTTTTAATTTTCTGCATTCGGTTAACAACAGACAAACATCTCTTACTGTAGTATGATGAGAGTTCGTATTATGTACCTCAGAACGACTTGATATTGCTCGTTATAATTTGAATTTCAAACCTTTAGCTTCATAAAACGGGAATTTATGGTATCTTTTAACTCCTAATGAAATGTTATAATTACGATGAAGCTTAATTGTTTCAATAAAACTAAACAACATTGAAAGTAACGAAAGTTTCTTCTAGGCTAAATTTGTACTATTAGTCATTTATCGCTAAATTTTACCCATACTAGTTAAATTGGTCGATGTTTTCTAGTATGAGTAAACAAAACCTCATAGAAGAGGTTTAATTCTCTTTAGCATTTGATAATCACTGTCTGACTGTGACAATTTTGTCAGCAATACAGAACTTATAAATACTGATTAATTACGCTCGTTTATCAATTCCAAATTTATATTCACAGTTTAGAGTTTAACTTTAGATCTGCGAGTAAATAGATACTACTCAAATGCCTGAATAAAACTAAATCCGTGAACTGGGATTCAATCGTGAGACATAATAGTTTAATATTCAGAACTTTATTCACTAAATCACAGCTCCACCTGTAATACATTACTTTAGGAAAATAGAACTTTCACATCTGTATATTTTGGATGAAAATCAATTTATTGTATTGCAGGATGAATATGATACCCTGGAAGCGGAGTATACAGAGGAGAAAAACGCTTACGATGAATTAAATGAACGTTTTCAGGTAGGACAAAATTGTCTACTAGATATGGAATTTAATGTTTTTAAATGATATACATTATAAGAAGCACTTTAAAGGAAACAACGAAGTGTGTTAATAAGTTTTTGTATTGTTCTATAATATCAGGATTTATAGGCTTGTCAAAGATTGAGAAAAGTGTGTTTACAAATGAAATACGTTTGCATAGTACTACTTTAACTTTACAATTCAATACAAGGGTAATCTAACAAAAGTCAGAGGAATCTTATTGAATAACTCGGTAAAACAAATATTTGGGTAGTGACTAATTGTTCCTATATACCTGTACACATAAGAGGTACTGAAATCATATTAATTAGACTAATTTGCCTACATTTCTTATGTGAAGCCTTTCAATTTTTTTCATAGATTAAGATGGTTATCAATTTATATCTGAAATCTGCTACTCATTGAAGATGTCAAATCTTCGGTAACCTAACTATCATCGGTAATCATATACTTTGAATTATAATGAAAACTATCTATTAGACAAGTCTTTTTATTACCTTTCCTGCTTTTAACCAAAGTGGAGAGAATAATATATCCTATCAATCTGCAGATAAATAGTAGGAAAGTTGATTCATTAAAAATCAAGTCTGAAAATCAACATCTACGTTAATACTATTCAGATCACTGGAACTATCTGTAAACAAAGATTTGCTAAGCAATATTCATCGAAAGACAGAGCTTCCTATGTAATTCATATTTAGATTAGCTAGTCACTAAGATATTCGTTTGTAGCTGACTCAAAGTACAAATTAAACCAAACTATTGTACAATATGTCTAAATAAGAAATCTCTTACCCGTCTCTTAAAATGATAGTTATACTAACAAATATATACTTTAACGTAGTCTTAGTGAAAACAAAATTTATACACTAGCTAATCACTGATAGTTATCGGTGCATTCTTGACTTTGCTCGTTCTACATCATTCTTGAATGTTTACTGATTTTTTTAGTCAATTTGTATTCCAGCAACTTCTACTCTCCACTAGAAAAAATGATACCTTTTTGATAAGTCTTGTTAATTTGAACGCTTTATTCGGTTCCTAATCTATTCTGGTAACCCGCAAGCTAGAAATACGCAGCAACCTGAACTCGAGAGAAAAGGCTCAAAATAAGCGAAAAACACTTTACCCCAAATATTCCTTATTGTACAGAAAAAACACAGGTATTTATAGATGTTAACATTTGTTAAATCAACATCATATTTTGGCCAATCCACTAAAAGACAGTCAGTCAGTAACAACGTAGAACTTCGTACGTACGTACATCAGTTCGAGTTGCCATACCACATTAGCACAGAGATGCAGTGGTCGATTCAAATCCCGTAGTGGTAGAGGTAGCAAGAGTATAAGCAGTAATCGGACAGATTAGGGTTTGGAGATGTTATTTAACGCGTATAATCCAGTGAAATAAATTTGGAAAGAGGAAAAAAGGGACATGAAGAATTCAGAAGATTAGAATTTGGGAGAACATAGAGAGTGGATGCACCTGCGCCATTGCAATCGATCTTGAGCCATGTCATTCAGGGTCTCTAACCATCGGTTGCTATCATCTCGCGGTCCCCAACCAGGTAGTCTACACCTACCAACATGACCCAGTCCACTTATCAGTGACTTCATGGATTTGTGCCATGTTTTGGTCTGGCCGCCCCTAGCTTTCTTCCAACCTACTCCTATACCACTGAATATAGCACGTCGAGGTAGTCGGTGGTTGGGCATACGTAACACATGTCCCAGCCATCTCAACTGATGAAGTTTCACTACTTCATCAATTGATTTGCCATCCTTACCTAGTACCCGTTTCCTAACAGCTGCGTTACTTACTCGGTGGTCCCAGGATATACGAGCAATATTTCGAAGACACCTATGGTCAAATACTAGTAACCTACGAATATCCTCTACTCTTACCGGCCATGTTTCACTTCCATAAAGTAGGACGGAACGAACTGCTGCGCAGTAAACACGTCCTTTGGTTGGTAGACGGATATCTCGCCTACGCCATAAATGACGCAAGTTGGCAAAAGCTAGTCGAGCCTTCTGTATCCGTGCTGAGATTTCGTCACACACCAAACCACAAGGGCTGATGAGACTTCCAAGATAAGTGAAGCGGTCGACACACTCAACTACTTCACTCCCTATCACTAGTTCGGGTGTCGATGTAACCCAATCCTGAAGCAACATTTTGCATTTCGAGGGAGAGAATCGCATCCCGAACATGCTTGCATTGTTGCTTAGAGTGGTCAGAAGACTCTGCATTTTGTCAGCGTCTTCACCAAATAAAACTATGTCATCTGCATATTCTAAGTCAACAAGTGAACCTCCCGGTAGAAGTTCAACCCCCGGAAATTTAGATGAGGAGAGTGTTATCTCTAAAAGTACGTCGACCACAAAGTTGAACAAGAATGGGGAGAGTGGACAGCCCTGACGAACACCACTTGAGGTAATCAATTCTGATGACAGTTCGCCATAAGCTCTCACTCTACCAGTTGTGTTCGAGTAGAGAGCCTGAATAAGGTTAATGTACTTCTTTGGTACTCCTTTCAGTGACAAACACTGCCATAGAACCTCACGGTCAACAGAGTCGAATGCCGTCTTAAGATCGAGAAATACTACCATTGTGGGGCGTCTGAATGTGTGTCTGTGTTCTAGAACCTGACGTAGTGTTAATATCTGATCTATACAACCACGTCCAGGTCGAAAACCGGCCTGGTTTTCTCTAATCTGCTCTTCACGAGCTTTGATTAGGCGTCGAAGTATTATTGAAGCTAATATTTTAGACACTATATTAGTCAAACTGATTCCTCTGTGATTGTCACAAGAGGACTTTTGTCCTTTCTTATAGACTGGCACAATCAGTGATTGAGACCAGTCAGATGGGATTACGTCCAGTTCCCAAATTCTACCTAAGACCTCGGTTAATCTCATTGCTAATACTGGACCACCATCCTTAAAAATCTCAGGAGTAAACCTGTCAGGGCCTGCTGCTCTCCCTCGTTTCAGATTCCCTATGGCTTTTTCAACTTCGTAAAGAGACGGAGGACCTACATTAACTTGCCATTCAGGTTGACTGGAGATCGTGGGAAACCGAAGTGTGGCTGAAGGCCAGTTGAACGTATCCCTGAAGTGTTCTGCCCATCGATCCAATCTCCTGGATTGAGAATGAATAATATGTCCATCTTTCTCTGAGATTGTTTCGCTAACAGTCGGGTTCCTAATTCCGGTCTAAACAATTGTCTGCTATTACCTATTGCCACTGCCTTTTCCATCTCTCTTGCTTTCGCTACCCACCACTGTTCGCGATCATTGCGTAGACTTCTTGTCAGCTTGCGCTTAAGCTGACTCCGCTCTTCACTATGTTCAGAGTCAGGTGGAATGAGTTTCCGAGCATCTATCAGTGAGATAGATGCTGCTGAGATCCAGTGTTGCTCCCTAACCTTCTGATTTACCTTACTAGCAGATATCACTGCTGTTTCCACAGCTTTTCGGATATCATTCCAAGCTGCATCGGGGTGGGCATGACATACATGGCTGCCTAACTGTTTTCCTAGTTGTTCCTGAAATATACTCTTAGCTTGACTATCATTAAGTAGGCCCCTAAGAGGTTTCCTTGCAGCGTCTTTCCTACGTCCAGTAAGACGCAAGCGAATACGCGCTCGCACTAGAGCATGATCTGAATCTAGGCATGTGCTCCAGAATGAGCGACAGTCTTCTATCGAGCCCCTCCATCGGTGGCTGATAGCGATGTGATCTATTTGTGTCCAACGTTGGGACGAATTAGGGGGTCTCCATGTTAAAAGATGTTTTTCCTTATGCTTAAAGTTAGTATTTGCAAGGAACAGGCGGTTATCTGAGCATAGCTGCAACAGACGGTCGCCATTATCTGTTCTTTGAGCCACGATACTATAAGATCCACCCAGGTGTCTTTCCCTATCGCTTAGTTTACCTACTTGAGCATTAAAGTCACCGGCCACTATTACTACATCCGAGCGCTTAGCTTTTCGGAGAAGGTCCGAAAGCTTTCTATAAAACTCATCTTTTACATCATCTGAGCTGCAGTCAGTGGGAGAATAGGCAGAGACGACGAAGAGGCAACGACGAGTGTCCCTATCTTTCCGGATTCTTACTGTTCCGTTCAGTCGGACAGCGCACAAACGACTGTCTACTGGGATCCACTCGAAGAGAGCTAGTTCTGCCCTAGGACTCAATGCTATACCTACGCCGGCGAGGCCACGGGAAGCAGAATCAGGGCTTCCAGATACACGAAGCGTAAATCGAGTCGGTTCTTTATTTTGGCATGGAGAGGTCAAATGAATGATGCTACTTGGATCCTGTATGCGCGTTTCGGAGACGCAGCACACATCGATGGCGCGAGATTCTAAAGTCCTAGCTAAGGAAGCCTGCTGTCCTATTTGGCACAGTGTTCGTACGTTATAAGCTCCTACGTGTAGTTTAGAGCGTGGCTTCAGGAAACCAGGAATAGCGTTCCACGTACTCGAATCGTTTGCCCTAGCGGTGCGAGGTGATAAAGAGACGTGAGGAGGGTTAGTCATGGAGATAAGAGAGGTATTAGGTGTAGGAAGGATTTGAATGTGACCAACTTGGTCTCGTGTGCTGTTACGGGTATGAGGGCTGATGTCACTTCCCGGCTACCCACACCGTGGAAGGGTATTTCTTGAGGAACCTGAAAAGGAAATTGGATTAGTGTTGGTCTTAACGACCTGGGAGCGTGACCGCAGAGCCCAAGGGACAACTGCTTGAGGCCGGTCGCGCACGGTTTTTTTGTAGAAGGTTTTTGACATGTTAGCTCCGTTCTTCAAAGGGCCTTACCGCCGGAGACGGAAATCCGTGAGGTAAGGTGAGGTGTGACATTTTTAGGGTCGACCTTTTCTAACCCCACCCCTCCTTGTGGGAAGGCAGCATCGCTGTCATGCTGATTGTCCGAAGGAAACACCTTACTGCTGTCACACCTCTGTACAGTCAGCAGTACGACTTCGCCCTCAGACTTTGAGTTGCTGCTTTTAGTCTTACCGTTCACCAATCGACCTGCCTGGCATGGTAGAACCTACAGGAACATATGTTCCAGCCAATATAGCTCGGTTGGGTCATCACGATAGGCAAGCCCGACCACCACGTCAAGGTAGCAACAACGGTCGGGCACTAAAAGACATGTTGTGCTACTGACCAATAGTAGCACGCTAAGCTGATATTCTAGAAAGCTCCATCACGCTCTGATTGGCTAGGACGTTTCGGCTTCTTTAGGGCCCCTGGAGGCTCCGTTGAAGTTCTTAGAAAGCCGACTCAACACTTTTTTAATAGGACTTTTATGATCATTATTTAATAACTGCTGAAGCGTTTCATTCTCGTGGAAGTAGCTGATGCTATCTTTCCCAAGTCTAATAATCAAAGTCCTTGAAGTACTGCTTAGTGGTTGAAAGAGCTCATAATTATGTACGATTTAAAACAGAAAGCTTTTTACAGAGAATTTTCTTCAACAAAATCTAATGCCATCAGTATATGAATTAATAGCTGGATCGACGTTTATAGCATCCGACAACATTCTCAGACTATGTTTAGGGTTGAGAACAGCCAAATTAATTGGATGACCTGGTAAAAATCCATGACTCGTCTTCGGCATCAGATTTCGTCAGTGTAAACTTATAGGCAGTTTTTGGATTCCCGGTGAGAAGCCATGGCCAGTGAAGTTTAATGGTGTCGTGTGAGACAATTACCAATGAAAGATGGTCACGCAACATTAGATGCCTGTTTTTAATGGTCTTAGAGGCTAAGCGTTCGCACGCGAGACCAAAGGTCCTGTCTTCGATCCCCAGTAGTAGATTGATAAATGCTCACTGCTAAGGAGTCCAACGCTAAGAAGAAATAGTTTTCCAGTAATTCTTAGTCTTCAATGGCTGTCTATCTATGATCAGTTTGTGAGTTAATTATAAAAACTCCACAATATCTACAAACAACCTACCAAAAATCAAATTCTCTAGTTAGAATGTTCGGCTTTCCTGATAACATTCCATTTTTTTTGCATAATCTATGCTATGAACAGTGTTCATTTATTATTGTTAATGAACATAAACTGAGAAATGACTACTCAGAATTTGATACAGTTTATTAGTTTGATTATCAGCTTCAATATGAGCGTAGTTTTCTGTAAAACTGATAGATTTTATGTAGTGTTAATTAGGAGATTAAAAGTTAGGATTGATAGAATATTTATCTGGATCAATTTTCTACTTAATAATCTAAAATACTTATAACCTATCATCATAGATCTGTGTTTTAAGTCAGCCTCATCGACGGGGAATTATCGATATTTTACTATTTTGTACTTCATGGACAGTTTATCTCATAACTTTGTACAATTCATTCATCTCGCATTTATAAAAGTTTAAGAATTTGACTTGATGAACATTTCCTGAAGTAAAATTCTCCACTTTCAGAATTTGATTGATCTAACAAAATTTAACCACAATAAAATGTAGACTGTAATTCACTGGTTCGAAAAAATCTTAGTCCATTAATCATATATAGGCAAGTAACTACCTATTGTTTAGTGTGATATCATACATTTTGCCACAAAATGCTTACTACTTGGAAAAATGTCAAGTATCAAAAGATATTTTAAATCATTAACGATAACCATCTAATTAATTAAGGTTCTTTGGATTTAGATTATAAATGAAGAGTATCAAAAGATAATGGAAGAACGTAGGCTAGAGGATGAAAGACGACAAAGAGAGGAAGAACAAAGACACCAAATGGAACAAGCCGTTATAACAATACAAGCATTTTGGAGGTCATATAAAACAAGAAAACTGGCACGTGGAAGAAAAGGAGGTAGTAGAAAAGCGAAGAAGAAGTAATCCATAAAACAGAGTCAAAACACTATTCAATTGGGATTAAAAAGGTAAACATGAAAACTTATTTAGAACCTGACTATTTAACACTAAATACATCCATTAAATCATGAGCCCATGAATGAAAAGACTTGTATGTTCTCAATTACATGTTAGTCACGTGATTCGTAAAAATTAAAATGTGTAAAACATCAAATATTTGATGAACGTATATGGTATTTACCCATTATTTAGTTAATTAATTAATTAACTTTCATGTTATTCATTAATGTTTATTTTATATAACAGTAATAAACAACATATTGTTGAATATTTGGATACATTTCTTTATTTACATTTTGTGTAAACGACCCTGGGTCACATCATGTGTATCCATCTACTGATACTATTAGACAGCCCAAGTCAAAATAGGTTTAACAGTTTCTCTGCATCGATAATGTCGTTTAAATTTAAATTCGGTAACTTTATGGGTTACTGTAATTCAACATACAGCTAATATGATATTAAAAATGATAATACCTGTAAAAAGAAACAAAATGATACACGTTAATATTGTAAAGAAATAGAGAAAGGAATGTGAGTATAATAAAAAAGAACAAAAATAAATAAAAAATTAGTGTATGACAGTGAAAATAATGATAACAATATTATGTCCGCAACGGGAACAGTCAAGTTTGAGATGATAGATTGATATTTTTCAAATTAACTATTTACTATATGGTTCTCAAATTTTATTGAGATGCTCTGTAATTCAGTGTCAAATACATTCGATTGTCCCCACTGGTGTTCTGTTCACTACACTGTCAGAAAGGATCGTTCCAGTCAAAGAAGTTCCTCTCACCATTGTGAAGTAAAAAAGTTACAATAGGATTTCCATTGCCTTTTATTTTGAGTCGTCTGATAATGTTTCAAGACACTGTATTGCACTATTTCTAGGACCCCTACCAAGTAGACGTGAAGAACCAATAGATACCAGTCCTGTACATCTATTTTCGTACCATAACACTATATCGTACGCTGACCACCTCTCTCTGCCTTTTCCAACTGGTCCCAGCACCGGGAAATAACGCACGACATGGAATTCGCTGGAACAACATTCGTAAGACATGTCCAAGCAAACGAAGTCGGTGTTCCAAGACAGTGATACCGATTGGATTATCGTTACTGTGCCCGAACACATGATGCCGGACCTCTTCACTACTAACATGGTGTTGCCACTGAATCTCAGCAGTCCTTCGAGGACAACGACGACCTAACACCCCCGACTCGGAGAGGCCAGGTTTCACAAGCATAGAGCAAAACTACTCTCACCAACGCGTTGTAGATCCGAACTTTTACAACCAGGATGACATTGCGAAGGCGCCAAAGATTGCCCAGATTTTCATAAGCCGCTCTGGCTTTCACTATACGCGAATTGATCTCATCACTCACGCCACCACCAGCACTTATGCAGCTACCTAAATACACCAACTTCTCGACTACTTCCATCTGCTCACCACCCAGGGTGAGTACAGGATTAGAATACTTCTAGCCTTGTAGAAGTACTTTGCACTTGGAAGGTGCGGAGCACATACCATACCTACGGACACTAATTGCCAACTGACTAAGTGCGGATTGCGTGGCTTAGGTATCCTCACACAGTAAAACAATACCATCCGCGCACTCAAGGTCGAGAAGTCTTTCTCTAGGTAACAGATCCATACCACCATTACTTGCATCCATCAGAGCTGTTCCCAAAACGTCATCGATAGCAAAGTTGAAGAGAAACGGTGAAGCGGAGCAGCCCTGTCTAACCCCACTGCTTCGATGGAACAGTGGAGAGAGGTGGTTATATGTCCTCATTCTGCCTTAGATGTCTGTATATCGGGTTTTCAATATGTTAGTCGACTTCTCAGGCACACGCTTCCTCAACTGACAATCCCAGAAAACAGTGCGGCCCGATGAATTAGACGAGGCTTTAGTGTCAAGAAACACTACGATTGTTGGCCTGTGATAAGTATGACGGTGTTCCGACATTTGGTGGAGGACGAAGATATGGTCAATGCATCCTCGACCGGAATGGAAACTAGCCTGATCCTTGCGAGTCAATCTTTCTCAGGTTTTGAACAATCTATGAAGTTTGACGAAAGCCAATAGTTTGGACGCAATCATAAGTGGACTTGTCCTGCGATACTTATTCCATAAATTACATGAACACTTTTTAAAGATAGGGACAACTATCGACTTATTCCATGACGTTGGAACACTCTCTAATTGCCACAGCTGTGTAAATGACTCAGTCAGTTCCTTAGCCAGAAAGTTGTCGCCATCTCTAAATTGGCCGGAGGTGAGTCATTTGGGTCTGGTGATTTGTAGAGCTTCAAGAGTTGGAGCTACTTGCGAACTTCCGCCTTGTTCGATGGATCAGTCGTCACAGGCCATGGAGGGCACGGCAGTCTGATCTATGGGGCCGGGACGGCAGACCAGTTGAACTGCTCCTCTAAAAACTTCCCATCATCCAAGACGTCGGTAGGTGTTATTGGTTGGCATCCCATTAGCCTCATAGATTGTTTCACATCAGATATCATACAGCCAGTGACTCTGATCAACTGAAAGAGCTCCCACCACCAAGGTTTTTGGTCATTAATCAAGCTTGGCACAATTACATTACGTAACAATCTTCGTTTTTGGTCAGACTAGTGGTCAATTGGACTACACCGACACGCCTCAATAAGCTATAATGAGCCTGTAAAAACCCAATGCTTGTAAGCGAGTTTTCGCGAAGCCGCGAGACTTAACTCGCAATTTTCTTGTCGTCATGCGACTGCAGTCAATGCTCATCTATACCTTTCAGTGGGATGGTAGTTAACCTTTAACCTATCTCGGTTTGATATTTAGTTGCAACAGAAGCTGTAACCAATTTTATGACGTCGATCCATATAGGACGATAAATTTCCTGGCCACTGAAACGTAAAGTAAAATTAACTCAAACGAGGGCATGATCAGAGTCCAGATAGGTACTCCGAAAGGAGTGTCAGTCTTGTACACATCCACACCAGCGGTAACTGACCGTGATGTGATCAGTCTGAGTCCAGGCTTGAAAGGCAGAGGGAGGACGCCAGATAGCACATCGGCGGTGACTGTACCGGTAGTTAGTGCTAGCCAGAAACAGGTTGTAATATGCGCCAAGTTGCAGTAAACGGTCAGTTATCTGACCTGCGAGAAACAAGTCCTTATTGGCCGCCTGAACGATTCTTTTCTGTCAGTGCTGCCTCAGATCTAGCGCTTAGTGAGACATGAACGCCAACAAAACCAGACGAATTTGCCACAGTATCTTCGGATAAACGCACGTGAAACAATCTTTTCGAAGTGACAGATGGAGAGCGAATTTGTAGTACTTCACTAGTTTTGAGTACGGGTGTCGGATAGACATCGATACTAAGGCTTTCTAAGGACATAACCAGCCCTATTTGTTGTCCGATCTGTATTAAGTTGCGAACGTTGAACGAAGCCAGTTTGAATGGCGTACGTGGTCTCAGAAAGACTTTCAGTATTTGTAGTCGGTGGTTGCACTCAACTTTCAACCAGTCGGTGACTTGAGATCGTTTAAATAGTACAGGGTTTCCACAATGGGTGAGCTACTGTATAAGTTGAAAGGTAAAATACACAAAATGAGTACATAGGGGACGTAGTATTTTAAAAAAAACGAGTGCTATCATATGGTTGTGAATAGTATTTTTCTGAATAAGCGTGGAAGCAAGGGTAATTTTCTCCAGTAGTAATTATTATTGATTTATGTGTGAGCTGCGATACTGTGGTGCGTGCTACTTATATTGGCATAAGTAGTATATAACACGAGTCAGGGATGTAATGTCTGGCAGCAGAAGATTAGGAAGATCAAGAAAGGAAGAACAGGAATAGAAAGCAATTCGTATATAAATGCAAGAACAATGAAGTCCGAAACGATTATTGGACATTTTGCAAATAAGGTATTATAGTACGGTTTTTCTATTTTACCAAGTAACTCTGTAATGTTATGCTAAATATAATTCGGTTGTCTTCACCTGTGTTCTCCTTCACTACAATACTATCTGGGTGCCCAAACAGAAGCAGGTGGTTTTCTTAGGGACCACTACCGAAACCTTTGATCTAGAGGTCTAATTCGCAAAACGGTGAAGAGACGATAGAAGATGGTAGCCGGTGTCCAACAATGGGTTCGTAAGTCATTTGTTCCCTCAGAATGGAGCCCATGTCCACCATTGGTTTTAAATCAAGATTTCTGAACTCTCCTAGGTGGATCTTCCATACCCATTAAGAACAGTTCAAAACAGAGTTTCAAACGTCCAGCGAAAAGTTTAGTTTCCAAATATATCGTGATTTTTCGAGTTCATTACCAATTCCCAATGTTTAATACTCACATGTCTATTTTTAATAGCGAAGCTTTTTAGAGAGATGTTTGTGGATGTTGGATTCCAAACAGAATAAGAGGTTATTTGACAATTAATAGATTATGTAAGTGAAACGTTCTCTCATTACATTATCCATGATAGCCATAACAAAAAGAACTTTTACGTGAAATATGTGTGCAGTATGAAAAGTCGTCCACAGTGACCGACAAAATACTCGTCAGCACGAGAAAGGTTTCACAAAATATACTGTATTTAATGGTTCAGAAAAATCATTGGTTGTGGATCTTCCGTTCATGCTTAGATGATAGATGGATTTTATCCAGCCAATAGGTGGCCGATGGATCATAATCATGAGAGGTCGTACGTTAATATTTTTGCGCTATGTAAAATATTATTAACGACCCAGTCACACATTTTGCAATCTAGACAGGAAAGTCTACATAGTTAATTTTGTACTAAATTTATACCATTTATAACATACTAAAGATCCAGTTGACCCATTCAATTATTAGTACGAGATTCCACAATAGTGACATTTAGATAATGCATCTTCTCGGTTATTATGATAAATTTTGGTAGACAAATCAACTCATAAAAATGGAAAATTGATAATATATTTCTTAAAAAATCACCATACTTGTTGAAAGTAGACTCTTTATGGCGGGGTTGAAACTGCGTTTTTGATTATTCATAGAAGTGATGAGTAGGTAATAACATTAAATCGAACAAACTTCATGCCCTTAGAAATTCCATTCATCTGTATTAATATGCTTAATTACTGAAGTAAATCATTTTCCATATGTAATGATGGCCTACTATGCATGTAATTCTATCATTCTTGTCACTTTGTGAATTATACATAAACTCATCAAAAGATTCACGTTTCGAGTAGGCTGATAACTATCATCCCAAATTCGTTAATTTGATTTGCATTTACGGCTTGTCTGCTCGTATACCAATGCCTGAAATAAATTATCCTAATAGATCTCATATTTGACATTTCGCTACCACCATTGCACAATGGGGCTAACTCAAGTATGATATACGTAACTAAATGGGAAGTTATATTTCAATATCGTCTTCATCTTATGGAGTCATCAAGGAGCTACATAAGGAGACTGAAACCTTCAAATGGGAAAACGTAAGTTAGGATTCCAAGACATTACCACTGAAGAAAGATGAAAGTTATTAACCCGCTTCACAAACTTCAGTACTGAATGAATAACTTAATATCCAGACTGCAAACAGTCAGGTGGAAACCACAACTAAAAAGTAAAGATAAATAACTTACGATAATTTAGAATGAGACATGTTAAATCCCCGTCTCTATAGAGAAAACAATGAAAACCTTGTATCAGTAAAATCATATTTTATGTACATTAGTGTATGTATACAATGTAAGTTGTATTAGTTGAACCGTTCTACATTAACTGCCACTTAGATGGAACAATTGTTTTAACTGGTTCTTCACTCTTGTTTAAGTCTCCCAAAGATTCAAGTTTCTTCTTTTGCAACTCTTCATAGTCGTGCTGCCAATAAGCTTTGTTCCGTGGATGCACCATTCTCGAGTAATATGGATCCCATACCATACCTTGACGGATTTTCGAAAGAATCTGCAACAAAAGAATGAAAATCATTAGTAGGACATTTTATTAAATATGGTATTTATTTATTTATTATTTATCTGGACACATGAATATTGGTACAAGATGGCACCAAATATATATGCGCCACACAAAACAATGAGAATTCGAAGAGGAATAGAAAAAAAAAGCTAAGGAGCGCAAAAAAAAGAGAGAACAGTAACGAAGAGATTGGTGTAAGGTAATGTGCTAGTAATCAGGGAACGCAAAGGTACAATCGGAAGAAATCTTTCAAGTAAGGGAGACACAACCACTTTTTATGAAGAAAGTAAAAGAAGGTTACAGCAGGATCGCCACTGGCTTCTATTCTGAGCCATATCTGATAACGTCTCTAGCCACTGTGTAGCACCATCTCTCAGACCCCAACCAGGGAGTCGTGAAGGACCGACAGAAGCCAGTCCTTTGCAGCTTTCTTTCATGCCACGACACCATGTCATGCACTGACCACCTCTCCGCTTCTTCCAACCAGTCCCAGAGTGGGCAAATAATGCACGACGTGGAATTCTCTGGGACGACATTCGTAGAACATGTCCAAGCCACCGAAGTCGGTGTTTCAAGATGGTAACACCTAATGAATTATTATCTCTATGCCCAAACACACGATGCCGAACCTCTGCATTACTGACATGGTGTTGCCACTGAATGTCAGCAATCCTTCGGAGACAGCGATGATCGAACACAGAGTCGTCTAACGTCCTCAACTCGGAGAGGCCAGGTTTCACAAGCATAGAGCAAAACTGTTCTCACCAACGCGTTGTAGATCCGAACCCTTACAGCCAGACTAACATCACGAAGGCGCCAAAGGTGACCCAGATTGGCATAAGTCGCTCTGGCTTTCACTATACGTGCATTGATCTCATCACTCACACCCCCACCAGCACTTATGCAGCTACCCAGATACACGAACTTCTCGACTACGTCTATCTGCTCACCATCCAGGGTGAGTACAGGATTGGAATCCTGCCAGTCTTGTAGAAGTACTTTGCACTTCTAAGGTGCAAAGCACATACCATACCTACGGACACTGATTGCCAACTGATTAAGTGAGAATCGCATGCCTTGGGCATTATCGCAGAGTAAGACAATATCGTCCGCATACTCAAGGTCGAGAAGTCTTTTTCCAGGCAACAGATCCACACCACCATTACTTACATCCATCAGAGCTGTTTCCAGAATGTCATCGATGGCAAAGTTGAAGAGGAATGGTGAGATTGGGCAACCCTGCCTAACCCCACTGCTCGTATGGAACAATGGAGGAAGCTGGTTGTATGCCCTCACTCTGCCTGAGGTGTTTTTATATAGGGCTTTTAGGATGTTAATAAACTTCTCAGGCACACCCTTCTTCAATAGACAATCCCAGAGAACAGTCCTGTCCAACGAATCGAAGACAGCCCTGATGTTAATAAACACTACGATTGTTGGCCTTTGATAAGTATGACGGTGTTCTAACATTTGGCGGAGGGTGAAGATATGATCAATACATCCTCGACCAGAACGAAACCCAGCCTGCTCCTCGTGAGTCAATCTTTCTCGGGTTTTGAACAACCTACGAAGTATGACGGAAGCCAATAGCTTGGACGCAATCGGAAGTAGACTTATCCCCCGATAGTTGTTACAGGAACGACGTGAACCCTTTTTTAAAGATAGGGACAACTATCGACTCATTCCATGACGTTGGTACACTCTCTAGTTCCCAAACCTTTGTAAACAGCATCGTCAATTCCTTAGTCAAAAAGTCACCACCATCTTTAAAAAAAACCGGAGGTAAGTCATCTGGGTCAGGTGATTTGTAACGCTTCAAGAGTTGGAGTTCCTTGCGGACTTCCTCCTCGTTTGGTGGATCAGTCGTCACCGGCCATGGAGGGCAGGACAGTCTGACCGATGTTGCCGAAGCAGCAGGCCAGCTGAACTGCCCTTTAAAAAATTCTGCCGATCGTCCAAGACGTCGATGGATGTTAGTGATTGGCATCCCATCATCCTCGCAGATTGTTTCACTCACACCAGACTTCTTGCTGCCAGTGGCTCGGATGAGTTGGAAGAGCTTCCGGTAATTACCAGATGCAGCTGCTGCTTCCAGCTCATTAGCACGCTTCGACCACCAGGCTTCTCGGTCCTTACGCAAACTTTGCCCGATTTCCTCACGTAAAATCTTTCGTTTGTGGTCAAACTCATGGTCACCCGGAGTAGACCGACGGGCTTCAATGAGTTGTAAGGAACGTGAAGAAACACAGTGCTTATAAGCGTGACGTTTCGCGAACCCACAACTGACTGTTCCCGCCATTTTTATGGCGTCATGCAATTGCAACCAATGCTCATCTATACTTTTCGGTGGAGTGGTAGCTAGCCTAGAGGCTAGCTCGGTTCGATACTTATTTGCAACAGAAGTTGCAACCAGTTTGCTAATATCAATCCGTTGATGGCGGTCACTTCGTTGTCCACTGAAAAGTAAGGCAAGATTGGCGCAGACCAAGGCATGGTCAGAGTTCAGATAAGTACTCCAAAAGGAGCGGCAGTCTCGTACACAAGCATGCCAGCGGTAGCTGATCGCGATGTGATCAATCTGAGTCCAGGCTTGAGATGCAGAGGGAGGACGCCAGGTGGCACATCGGCAATGACTGTGCCGAAAGTTAGTGCTAGCCAGAAACAGGTTGTGGTCTATGCACAGTTGCAGTAGACGGTCCCCGTTATCTGACCTGCGACCAACGAGTCCCCATCGGCCACCTAAACGACTCTCTTCTATGCTTGGATGCCCGACCTGAGCATTCAAGTCTCCGGCTAGTACTACAATATCTGTCGGACGCACTTTCTGGAGAAGAACAGATAACTGGTGGTAAAACTCATCCTTGATTGCATCCAGGCTGCAATCTGTCGGAGCATAGGCGGAGATGACGAAAAGACATCGTTTCTCACGCCGATTTCTTCTCACTTTGATGGAACTTTCTAATCTAACAGCACATAACCGACTGTTAATGGGGATCCAATCGATTAGTGCTGCCTCAACTCTAGCGCTTAGTGCGACACCAATGCCAGCAAGACCAGACGAAGATGCCACAGGGTCCCCGGATAAGCGCACGTAAAACAAGCTTTTTGAAGTGACAGATGTAGAGAGAATTCGCAGTACTTCACCAGAGTCTTGAATACGGGTCTCGGATAGACAGCGAACATCGATATGAAGACTTTCCAAAGACATAGCCATTAAATATGGTACTAATATCGAAGTCGAAAAGATTATAAAACCTAGTTAATACATACGATAACAGCAAATAAATATGAATTTGGATCCTGTTAAATTAACAATCGTACAAATAAACTGCTCACGCACATATATTTAGGCAAGTTTCGCTAATTTTACTCAGAACAAAACACAAACATTACAACAATAAAAAACAAATGAGGAAAAAATATACATTTAAAGTGTTAGTAAAATAAAATTAAACTTACTTGATAACGACTTTTTAGTTTGTATGATCCTGCTCTAGGTCTAAGTGAATACGGGTAAGGGATGTTATCCCAGTCGGGTGTAGTACGAAGTGTTTCAATAAGGCTCGGATACATAGCACGTTTTTCTTCATCTGACATACTGTCATAATCTATCCCAATGGCCTCCAACTCTTCAATAGGTGGTGTCTCCTTCAGTTGTATACCACCATTCACCAAGGACTCGTAGAAAGCTCTGGTCTATTTTTATCTAAAATATGAACGACAGGGAACATACGCTCTCGTTTTCTTTATCTAACTCGCTTGTTTCTGAAAATAACTCCGTGAAACCACATTGGTGACATCTTAAGGCCAACACTCTTCCAACATTTTCTGCAGCTGAAACATCAATACAACTAAAATATGCAGCATCTTCAAAAATAATACCTATATAAATGTTTTCTGATGCTAACTTCTTTAGTTGAAGCAGAGATAAGCACTTTTGAAGAAGCATGAACAACAAGACCTGTTGTATTATGAGGTTCTCTATGTAAGACTACTCTGGATTAAAATAAAGTAAAATATATCATTAAAAATTACTTATTCCAGAAGTCTTTTCGTGGAGCTTGAAATTCCCAACCTTTCGTTCTAGGTGCTAAACCAAGAAGTTCAAGATTTCTATAACTATGCCTTCCGTAAAAGTTTTCTAACCTTGGATTTTTGTTACGATACACCAAAGTAGACATCGTTTTTAAAGAAAATCTTTTTGCAACATTTGAAAAAACACAGGAATTTAACAGATTATTTAGCATAATTTGTCCCTTCCAAATAATGAAGACTTTAAAATCTGAGGAACATACCACTAATCTCAACACAGCAGAAATATAAGGAAAACTTCACGTTATTCCAATTCACTATAAAAAATTTCAAACATATAGAGACCTAAAAGGGAATTAACATAGCATTCAATTAGTTAATCATGAGTAGTTCATCATAGCCTACAAAAATTACTTGGCATCCAACCTAACAATCATAAAACCCTACTACGTTATTTCAGGGACTTGTAACCAAAAGAATAAAGTGAGTACTCAATGTCGGACATATGAGTGATGATTTCAGAAAAAGAATATAGACAAAAACCCAAATAATCACCATCAATAACCGAAAAAATTTGTCTGTGGCTTGAAACTGTTTCATTTCGAGGAGAAAACACTTATAGCTTGTTTTTCGTCCAAATCCGTGCAATAGTCTAGGAGGTAAATAAGAGTTACTAACCAATGAGATCACCGACTGTCGGTTTAAGCTGTCAGCAAGTCCGAAAATCCCACTCAAAACCTGTAGGATAACTGTAATCTTGGGATGCGTTATGCGGCCCACAACACCCACAGACACTTTGTCTTCCGACTTTTCCCTTTAATTTCCGTGTTTGGTGGCCTTTGTTCATTGTCACGGACAGCTCGATAAGTAGTGGTGCCTCACCATCTGTTTCCTGTATATGCGCCTACTGTATTATCAAGTCTTGCTTAAGAGACGGGATGAATGTCGATTACACTAAAATAGAGACAGTCTTAGTGTGACATAACAGGCTGTTGTGATAAGAAATCTGAAATTTTATGTAGGCTCGAAAACGAAGTTTTCAAAAGTTTTGCCAATACGTCGTTTCCCCTCCCAAAATTCTGTGGCCATTAGAGAGCTTCATGGTAAGTCCTTAGTATGAAATTTCTGCCAAGAAGGCACGGTCTGTATTTCCGTACGAATTTCACGACAGTTAGTATCCCTTTTCGTGTGACAAAAATTTTCTCAGACCTGTTTAACGGTTTGTTTCCAAACCTAATAAAAGGCTCTTTGTAATTGGGTCCAATTTGAGAAAACGCTTATTTAATTCCTACTTCCCTTGCGTCTGTACCTAACCTGTACATACTTGAATTATTTGTATTCTGAAGCGGTAACGACTTAGTGTATCGTCCACTTTTGAATGGCATTGAGCACCCGGAGGTCAAACTTTCGTAGACCGCGTTGTAATGATCTACTTTTATCAACACACATTCTTCTGTTGATTGTGACCCTGCACAAATTCAGTTGCGCCCAGTAACCACACCTGTACTCCTTTGGCAAGATCTCGATATCCTTTCGATACCATGAGATCGCTAACAAATACATGTCGACTACAACCATCACCTGCCTTCTGATATTTAGCCTACGGGGGATCTCATCGGTTAACTGGCAAATATTCTTCCCGTAGTGGTGATCATAGTCAACCGCGACTCGACGCCGCACTACAGACAATTAATATAGTTTCACAGAAGCGGTCAAATCGAGACAGTCTTGAACGTCGTGTAATTCAACCACAGTGTCTCATAATGTCCATTCTTCAATTAGCGTGTAGCGGTAAATAAATCCCAAAAATAAATAGCTCTGTAAGTTTTCGACATTGAATGCTGACCGTATGTTTTAGTGGACTCGTCTAGCTGAGGGCGCTCGGTCATGCATCCGCACCAGATCACGTGTGGTAACGCTGTGCTCAACATCTACCGCAATCGCTAGCCAGATTAGATCAGAGAATTCCGATATATTGGTAATCGCCAAATACACTTTTCCGCTCTCCTCAACTCTGTCTTTTGATTTCTCTCGGTGGGTACAAATTATATTATATGTTGCTGGTAAAAGCGTTGTCAAACACGGAATACCTGTGCCATCTTCAAGCGAGTGATTCCGTCGTAATGAAGCATGATGCAGGACAAGTATTCGATGATAGGTCAACTCGACGACTCACCCTTCGCGGCAATTTTGAAACCTGCTCGAATGAAGTACATAAGATAATAGGACCTCTATGATTGATAATTCTTTGTAACGTATGAGTACACTAAATATGTCATGGCAGTCTGTAAAAAGAACAAAGATAACCCAAATCTAAGGTATTTTTTCGTCAGATATTTTGGGAACTGATGATAGTTTTCGTCAGCATATTCAATCCATTTACCGTCTAAGCCATTCCAAATTCGCTACTTGGCATACTTCCAGAGCAGAATAACCTGAGTCGTATGTACGCTCTGCAACATGTCTCAAGTGAATCACTCTACGCTCTAAAGTATTGGAATAAAGTCCGTCCTAATCCGCCTATTTTTTAAGTCGATTTGGATCCTCCTCAATTGCTAGCTCATTTTCTTGGTTAAAAACGCCTCTCCAAACTTTCAAATTTTCAGAAAAAGTAATAAGTTAGACGACGTTCTCTGAGATAGGTTATTTATATGAATTACGGGGGGGGGTGAGAGTTCTTAATATTGAACACTAAGGGATCCCATCAGAAACAAATGGATATTGTTGCAGGTTTCAATTATGCTGGCCAGATATTCAATGTCTGCTGTCGTGTCAGATCTGTTAAACCATCAAGTTGTGGAAACTCCAACGAAGCTAATTCTTTTAGACATCATAAGTACTATCCAACATTTTCTCTCTGTTTGCAGCTATGAAATGACGTGACGACGGGATGTGACTGATGTTCTCATTCTGTAAGGGTTTCTAATGTTAGCATCGTCAGTGATGTCCAGACCAGTTATTTTCAACCGTCTCAATGTTTTTATAGAGATGGTGGATATTAAAACATTTATTTACTGATACTGGGAAAGCTGTTTTATATACGGTTTGTATAGATCTCTCCAAAGAGTAAACGACTGATCAGAGACATATATTCCAGGTGCTTGCTTTTTAACTCTCTGGGCATCACACCGAACCCCTTAAACGGTTGAGCCCCAGAAATCTGCGAAGTCGCGTTGACTGCTGTTGTGAAAATATCCACTACCTTCATCTGTTGATGTGCCTGTTCTTTGTGCCTGTTTCTTATCTAGATTTGTTGTTGTATCATTTTCCTTATCCAACGTAGTGTGTCGAAGCTGTGAGATTTGCTTGGAAGGTATCCGTGCTGAGAAGGCTTCCCGTATCCGCAAATTTTACTACAGGACAAACAAACAAGTAGGAGGAGTCTTAATTTAAAAATTCCTTATATACTTGGTGATAAGGAGTTACTATAAGGTCGAGTGAACACAACCGGTTCGGCACGATTGCCGATCAACAACCAGCTACCACCCGAAGTCACGGTTATTCGCTTGCACGCCGCAGCTCGAACTTTCGCTTCAAAACCCATCAAAAAACCCCAATAGCCTTATTTCGTACGCTTCAAACATTTAACTTTCATAAAAATGGTGAAAATAAAATATCTGTAATTTTTAGGCGTTTTCTTCTAAGCTTTGCTAGGTGCAATAATGAATACCTGGTTTTAAAATATCAGTCAAAGTCGTGGTCTAGTGCCCAGGTATACTCCACTTGTTCTCATTTTCGTAGGTCATGATCAGCGCTGTTTTTTCCAACTTTTTTTCGAATTTGTGTCTTGCTTGAATTTGTTGGCTTTTCAGCTCAAATGGTTCAGTTGGTTGTGAATAGAATAGAAAAGGTGAGTCACTAGTACGTCCAGGTACAGACCTAGCTACTTTGAACAAGTTAAGGAGTAAACTATAATAAGATATCATACCGCATCTTTAAAAATACTTCAGGTTTTTCCTTGAGTACCCTCGAAATTCACCTGGACCTCCTTAGTCTTTACCGAGGCTTGTGTTGAAATGGAATTTAGGTTTTTAATAAAGGTTATCAATATTTAGAAATTATACGCACATGATTAATCCTATCTATGAAGCAAACCTTAATAAGTCGAATAGCATTTGACTACAGAGTCGCTTTCGCCTTCAAAATAAATCTTTTCTTCTTATAGAAAATCGTGAACTTCGGAATACACATACATCTTATTTTTACGTCTTTGTGTAAGTTGGTAAAGGTTGTAAGAGGATTACCAAGAACAATAGTTAATTGTTATTCAGTTCTTTATGGAAAGTTGACTCACAGTCTGCACAGAAGATAATATTTCCTTTCGTTATGACACGAGCTGTTACAGATTCTGGAAGACTCTTTCAGTTTACAATTTCAATCAAATTAAGCGATGCAATCAAAAAAGGGGCGAATCAATATGGCTGCCGCCATAACTAAGTGTGAACTAAAACAACGTATGTTCTGTTCAGGAAAACACGGGATTTCAGTAAAGCAGTTAGGAAAACAAGAGCAACAATAAAATACAAATAGCACTACCTCATACGCAGTCAAAAAACAAGCAATATGTACGTCTAATGAATCAAGAAGAATAAACAAGTGTGTACTTGGTGAGATTTTCATACACGAAACACTCAAAGTGGATCTTGCAGGTAATATGGCGGGATGTTATGTATTGTCTTTTCCAGTCTGCTTTGCCTCTACGTCTGTCTTATTATTTGTCTGGTTCAACGACTGTATGCATAATATGTATCCTGAATCCACTCTTATATCTGACTTATTATACTCCGTTATTCCTTGGCACAAATTAAGCCCATAATAAAGAAAAGGGAAGGTATTATGCATATTTCGTTAACACCATCATTCGATCAAGTTGGAGCCAGATCAACGAGCCATTAAAACGTCAAAAGAAATGTTAAGAACGCTGTCATTTCATGTTCATTCCTAATTTGTCTATATTCTAATGGAACGAGCTACAGTGACTTAGGGCATTGTTCACATACCTTGAACTTAAGCCCCTTAATTGACTTCATAGCTCGTCATTTGACACATTATAGAAAATCCGTATCTTTTAGGTGTGAAAGATGAGACTTCACAGCACCATACTCTAAATGCTGTCAAGTAAATATGCTTGAAATTCAGAGAAAATTTAATGTATCAAACCGGTCTGAAATGCTAGTGTGTGCTTTGCTTAAGGGCTATTTATGTCGAAGCAAGCGTAAGAATTTAAATGGTAGGATACCAAGACTCCCATATCTTTTTCAATCTGGGACATCTACTGAGTGGGGTTGGCTGTGTTGTATGTATAATTCGTGATATATCGTACATGGTCTAATTAACATTGAAAAGTAGGGAGTAATGCCATCATATTCCACTCAACCTTGAAAGCAAGAAATATCCTATTGAGGTGGTAGCTTACCAAACTATTCAAAGCCCAACACCACCAATAAATGGCGATATTCCGGTATTGAGCTTGTGAAAACATGAAGTGTACCGTGATATAAAAGAATCGATAACTTAGATATTACTCAAATCATCTGAGAGTGGTGAATTAATACTTATAAGCCTGATATTATTGACGTGACTCATATGGCCGGCTCGTTCAAAAGCATCTGGGAAATCAAGGTACATTAATCTCAATTTCTATTTACAATAAAGCATGGTGGCCCAACTACCCACTGGAGTCAGAATACTGGTAATGCAGTAGTGGCACGTCCTAAGACCATGCTTTTGAGACTCAAAGAAGTTTACAGATTATATGCAGTTCCTTTTTTAAAAGTGGCCTACTAGAATAACTGAGCTAACTGTTTCTGCCATCTGATTATTTTAACAAGTGATCTGTTTTTTTCGTTTGTTTTGACTTACAACTATTTTCATTAATCTAATCATCTATTCAGGTGCTATTATGAAAAGCCTACGATCTTTCGCTGCACAGGTTACAAAAATGTACCATAAAAGACATCCTGGTGGTTGGCAATATGCGTTAAAGTGAATTAATATTAATCGTATGTCGATTCCAGAGCTGCTAAATTCTAACTGTCGATCACTAGTCAACAAAGTGGACTATCTGCAGTTCCAACTAAGTCGAAATTTGTATCGTAATTGCGGTGTCATCACAATTCAAGAATCTTGGTTAAACGATTTACAGGATGATTGCCTAGTATCACTACGTGATTTCATAATTTATCGTCAGGATCGATCAAACAATAAAAAGAGGTGTGGCGGAGGTGTAGCTACGTTTGCAAACATAAACTGGTTTCAATTTTCGTTTGTGTATTTCAAGATTTCAAATGACCTTATCGACTGCCTAACTCTAAGATGCCGTCCAAAATATCTGAATAAATACAAGTATGTTTATGTTTGACTTTGAAGTTGTCATAATGTTGGTTAGAGGCAGTTTAAAGAAAACCAGAAAATTTTAGGAAGCCAGTCGGTAATCAATATACCTTAAGATAGATCTAATTTATCAGCCAATTTATAAATGGTGAACATGTGCTAGGTTGGCTATCAAATCAGAAAAGGCAATTTAAATTTGTCAGCAGTGAAAATGTTATAATAGACGTGGGATTAATTCACGAAGTAATAGTCTGTTGAATTAAACCATGTTGATAAATGCAGACTACCCAGTCGGAGTCCGTTCTGTTAGAAACACTATATGACATGGCTCAGAATCAACTGCATTGGTACAGATCGACTTACACGATGTTGTTCCTTAGATCTTGGGTTTTAAAGTTATCTTACGTGTTTTGTTCCCTAAATCCATCCTCCTTTCTTCAATCACACTATTGTTGTCCAATGGTTTCTGTTACTACTGATGGTGTCACCACGTTTACTACTCTGATATATCGTCAAGATGATGTAATGTGGCAGCTTAAACCGGCTCACAAATATACCAGGTTCTAAGTTGAGTTTAACTGACCGACTGGAATTTTAAATCTTTCGAACTAATTACTTGTAAAGAAAATTTTAATTGCTCATTTGTTTTTAAAGAGTACGGGGATGATTTCTTTGTTTATCAAAGAATGAACGCTTCACAATTAAACCATTCATTTTAAAACATAAAGTACCATCAAAACTGCATTCATACCTTATGAAAATAGATCGTACTTTTGATAAATAAATAACAGTTTCTTCAGATAAAGAGCTAACTATAATACATTCTATAATCAAAGAAGAAACTGATATTCTAGACATTTCAAACTCTTCTTCTTAATGTAAACTATTAATAAGTAGATTGTCTAAATAAACTAACGTGTGCTGATCAATTTAGAAAATGTGCTAATATAATTTTTATTATAGAACTTTCAAATTAGTTAAATTCCATTTCACTAAACTAATAATCAATTCGATGAATTCGGAAATTCATTCTCAATTGAACAGTGTTTAATTCTATTTTCGATCTCACTTTAATGAAGAAGAAGAAAAAAAGAAAGAAAAGAAAACAACATAATATCGAACAGGAAATATGACCTTCTTGATAAAAATAATAATAATTTAAATGAAAACAAAATTATAATTGTTCACATGATAAAAAAATTATTCGATAATTATTGTAAACATTTTATTTGTTTTAATGATTCACTTTCAGTTGTATGTGGTGATTTCAATTCATGTGACTGTAGCTTCCTTACGTCACTAGGTCATTAAAATGTAGCAGATTTTCCTACTCGTTTGAATGCTCATTTAGACTTCGTTTTCATTGATGATGTGGGTATATATGTGACTCGTAAACGTGCTTCATTGTCTAGCTCAGATCACTGTATAATTCGTATTCTACCTAAAGTATATGGAAAGCATGGGAAGAGTACACTCTCACATCAAACCAAGAAAGTCAAATATAGGAATTACTCAGAAGAAAATATCCGAAATCTGAAAAGGATGTTTCATACGACTAACTGGGAATTATATACAGATAACTCACTGGAAATCACTACTGATGTTATCACTTGTTACCTTAAATTCTGTTTTGATATTTGTTGTCCCACTGAAACCATTTTTGTAAGTTTCAATCGACTTACATCTTCCCAACTAAAACGACTACGGAGGGTGAAAAAAAATGTACAAGGAGAAAAACTCCAATGAAGTTCGTAAGCTGAATGGTCTGATAGATCTAGTGATTAGACGTCTCAGCTCTATGTTTACTCAAAAACTCTTGTCTTGCAAAAACTCTGCAAGTATGTGGAAACTCTTTGAAGAACTTACAGGTGACAGACAGATTAGAAGCGATAACCAGCTGAATGTTTGTGACTTAAATAAGTCTTTTGTACACCAGTCATCTGATGAAATGCTCTCTTCATCCACAGGTTTAAAGAATAGCCATGTTCCTAGTTTCACTGAAATTGATGTACGAAGATGTCTCCAGTCACTTAATTCATCCCAATGTTTAGGACTTGATGGTATCCTAATCCCTCTTTTTTAAAAATGTGCTGACGTCCTATGTTATCCGTTCACACCTATCTTTAACAGATCCTTCTCATCTAATCTCATACCAAAAATGTGGAGAAAGATGAAGATAATCCTTGTACCCAAGAAAGTATCTGGTGATAAGAATGTGAAATTTAGACCTATTGCAATAACTTCACCCTTCCTCAAAACCATGGAAAAATTATAAATACTTCCACTTCAGCCTGCGATAAAAGAGCATATTGATTCGTATCAGTTTGCTTACAGATGCAAAAGAAGTACCTTAGATGCTGCTGCTGTTCTGTATCACAATATACTGTTCAACTTAGAAAAGGGTAAGAAGTATGTTCGATGTGTTTCTCTGGACTATACTTCAGCTTTTGATTCTATACCAAGACAATGTTTACTTAACAAGTTAATCAGCGTCAACACTGACAGCTGGATAATTAACTAGCTATGTTCCTACCTCTCTGGAAGAGAACAGTACACTGTGTTTGGAGGGAAGTGTTCAGAGTCTCTACTGTCTCCTAAAGGTGTACCGCAAGGAGCTATTTCCTCACCTCTTCTTTTCTTTTTTTTTCTGCATGATCTGCCATCTTCCACAGAAAACACTTTTGTGAAATATGCGGATGATATCAATGTATGTATGTCTATCTCTTCCTCTTTACATCCCATAGAAATGAATGAGTTTTAGTCTCGTATTGATTGTTGGTCTGTTGGTAATGTTCTTATACTTAATCCGTCTAAATGTCAAGATGTTAACTTTAGTATGAGATATGAACGGAATCTAAACACCATTTTCAGATCCCATAATGCTTGTGCCATTGTAGATTCTTTGAAAAACACAGTGTCGAAGGTCAATTATCTTGTTGTTACCTTTTCCTGTGATCTCTCTTGGTCTTCTCACGTTTTATTGTTATCGAAGAAGGTTTTCCGTCTGACTTACTACATAAAGAGATTGCATGCTCTTGGGATTACTCTTCATTTACTCTCACAATTTGCCAATTCTTGCATATTATTTATTATTCTTTATTGTTCTCCATTATTCTTTCCCGCGCCTTTGAGAAAAGACTTTGCTGTATTGGGGAGAGTTCTGAAGGCAGTTAGCAAGGTGTGTTGATGAGTCTTTCGAGGTCATAATGAATATGGTTGCGGATAGACAACTAAAGTCATGCAAACTCCTGGATGTATTATCTTATCAACGTTATGACAGGGGATACTATTCATTTGAACCATGTCTACATTATTAGTGCTGTTTCATATTAGATGAATAGTCTTCTTGGTTTATTGAAATTCAACTTGCTGTAGACTTTCGGGTTAATACAAACAAAAACCCCAGTCTCTCGACTAAAACGTTGTGACTTAGTTATTCATTGGTGTCGGTTTATTCGCTGAATTTCGCCACTTCTGTCTGAAATATCGTTTCCATCCACCTTTCTGACCCACAGTCACATCCTTTGCCTAAGTTTGGCCCTTAAAAACTACGTCATGAATGTGTTACCTAAGAATTATCATTCTCTTCAAGGTATTTTATGTACATAAACCGACCTGCTCGTGAGAGATTATAAGAAAGATTTTACGATTTGTAGCAGATTATGTTATATGGTTATGAGTTTACATTAAACATCTTGATAATGCCGAAAAATTAAAACTTAAGTATTTATTCAGCTTCTTATCATTCGCGGAGAACATACTCTCAATACCAGCTAGTGAACATTAAAAACTTTGCTTTTTTAATCGTTATCTCGAGCTCCAAATTTTCTATTTCACTATCTGAAATTAGTCTCAGTTATAAATACCTGTCTGGCTTAGTACAAATGGAAAACGATGGGTAACCGACGAAATTGAAGGTTCAATAACTATCATAGCTTGGAAAATAGTTTTGAAATAGACCCAGATGTTATAGTCCGATAGTTCGAAATTAGAATCACAAAGATCTCGTCTTAGAAATCTCTAAATGTTCAAAATGTCTTGAAACAATTTAGCTACGTATATTTTCTATTTTATATACAAGATTTTCTGTTCTATCCTAAGTTATAAGGTTATTGTAACTTTTAAATTATTAAAAATTTGATGATTTAATCTATCGTTTCTTGAATTTCATCAAAGGAATCTAAAATTTTGTATATATTAATCACCTCGAGCTGTCGACGTTTAAAATAGCCTCCCAACAACATTTCGCCAAAAGTAAACATGATGGAGTTTAGTACTGCCTGATCGCATAGGACTCATTCAAGTTATGACTGTCCTTGAGATACTAGTTGGAAAATACGTGTCGCAATATATATTGACCGGAATAGTTTTTATTTCACGAACGGGGCAGTTTCTGACGCTAGATGGGGCAGCCATTCTTTTACTGGTCATATTTGGGGGATCGGCCGGATATATCGACATTGTTATCACGATAGGTGGTTAGTTGCTTGCATGAATTCAGGTGGGTTACCACACTGTTGTGTAGTTTAACAACCTACGCAACAGAAAATTGAGATAAAGCGATGAATTGTTCTATTTGTTGAAGGGTGGTATTACGGATACGATTTGATTTCTTGAAAGATATAGACAGGAAGAAAACATTTCGAATGATTATATACTCAATTAAGGTGAGTCACATGCACGATGACAATTTTACCTGTGGTATATACAACAAGTTGATATTTGTGTATAATCATAATTGGGCATATTCAAAATGTAGCGGTAAATAAATCCCCAAAGTCAATAGCTCTGTAAGTTTTCGATATTCGATGCTGACCACATTAGTTTTAATGAACTCACCTAGCCGAAAGCGCTTGGTCATGCATCCGCACCAAACTACGAGTGGGAACGCCGTGCTCAACAACCCCTACAATCGCTAGCCAGATTAGATCAGATGATCTTCGATATATCGATATCTTATCAAATATATCTTCGAACCTCCTCGCTTCTGTCTTTCGACTTCACTTGATGGGTACGATTCATATTAGAAGGTGTTACTGGGTAATGCGTTGTCAAACTCTGATTACTTGTGCCCACCTTCAGAGGGCAGTTGATGGCTGTAGTCGAGATGTATTTGTTTGCGATCTCGTGGTATCGAAAGGATACCGAGATCTTACCAAGGGAGTACAAGCGTGGTTACTGAGCGTAACTGAACCCGTGCAAGGTCACAAAGATAGTGGAACAGTTATATGGCCATCATTAGCACAGTTAAACAAACGAGCACAGTAAAACTATCAGTGATACAATTAGTTATAATAATGATTGTTTCAATTAAATCAATCAAATTTCTTGAGAAAAGTAGGTCACTGCGGGAACCCTTGCTAGAAAGGGTTTACACGTTCGATAAGTAGCGGTTTTATTCGTGAGACTGATCGGCAAACATGCTAATGTACGACGAGAGGATTGGCGGAATAGGAAGCGATCGTTGATCCTCGAGTTGCCAATGAAGGTCTTTTACGGAGAACGGTACCACGAGAACTGTGCTGTATTTGTTGCTCGAGTTGGCATACCACACCGGAGTGGTTTGTCTCCAGGAACTGAAGATTGCGTTCGTAGTGGTCCGGACTAGAAAACGCTTCAGACGTAGTACGAAACCACGTTGAGTCAAGGAAACAGAACCGACCATGAACACCAGGTTCGGGACCATCGTAAGCATTGCTTTGCCCACATACGGACATCTTCATTCATGGACGACCAGACGCATTGTGCAGCGATGAGGCGTAATGTAGCTGCGATACCTAGATGAGACAATTCATGCAGGGCATCGAACGCGAGACGGCGGTAAGAAGAGGATACGATGGATCGGGGAAGACCGGTGG